GGAACCTGCAGGTATTAAATAGCCCATCTATACCTATATATATTATATTGGTATTATTTAGCCTACCTATAGAGTGGGATTAAATACCACTGCTGTTTGATGTTCTCTGTGTAATTACCAATGATGTATATAAACCCTAGATTGCCGATGATATGTATTGGCCGTTGAGAGGCTTTGAAGCCATCGGGCGGCCATATTGGAACTCCCCGTTAGGCGCAGTCCTCCATAGGAATTAATGGTATTCTACAGTATTTAGTGTTTCAAGGACAAATTGACATGTATTTAGTATTTTTGTTGTTATAGTGGTGACAGTAACATTAGTCATCTCTAAATATATATATTTTTTTCATGTTTAAGCTGTATGTTTAGCTCACATAATTAGAATTTAAAAGTATACATTACGTTGTCTGGAATAGAATACATTTGGCAAAAAAATGAATGTAGGACATTAATAAATGCATTTCTATAGGTTCCAAAATATTTTTTACAACGACGGGGGAGTGCCAAGATGGAGGCAAGGTGGCTTCAACACAGCGCCCCCTATCAGACATCTAGTGTATATATATATATATATAAATAATTGGTTATTACAGAGAACATCATCATAGATGAGGATCAAACATGATTGATGGCTAGATTATCTTTAATTGTTTTTTTTGCACTGTTGACACTTAATTGGTTTACAGTGCTACTGGTCCGTTGACACTAGCTATATTGATTAACGGGATGCAAATAGGCTTGGTGGAATCCCTGGAAAAAACCGTTAAGTCTAGGGTAATGTTAGGATAGGGGGTAATTTATGACAATAAAGCCCCAGTGATGAGGAAGCTATGCACTGTGTCTTTGTTGGGGTATGATATAATGGTGCCATAGGACAACATGTATGACAAGGGACGTAAATATATATAATATAAATATAAATATACAAGGGCCATGTTACTGACTATGCAAGACGTGATGGGTTCATTTCAAACTTCAAAAAAACGGAATTGTTTTTAATTAAAATGTGAATGGATCCGTATTGATGGTTGGGTTCCATTTTAATCAGTTACATCTCGCCAGTCAATGCTGGAACTGCACAGTAGGGTAACCAAACAACCTGGGTTCAAATACTATTTGAAATATTTTAAATACTTTTTGGAGCATTTTGCTGAAAGGCCAGGTGGGTGGGGTTTGCAAGTTTGGGTAGCCCAGCTAAAGTATTTGAAATAGTATTTGAACCCAGGTCTGTAACTAAATGGGTTAACGGAGCAGAGGCTTCAGGTCAAGTCAACGACAGAGAATCCTAAATTATTAATCCACACAGCGATGGATGCTATGAGGAAGTCTAGGTGTTGAATGAGTGGGCCTCTCTGGTTACACTGTGCTGCGTGTGTGTGTGTGTGTGTGCGTGTGTGCGTGTGCGCGTGTGCGCACGTGTGTGTGTGTGCATGTGTGTGCTCTGCTTCTCTGAAGTGAGCCGTTATGTAACATTTAGGAATGATTTACCCTTTCTTCGAACACTGTTTGCAGGTTTGAATTCTGCCTTCAGCTCTGAAATGGTTGATGTGAACCAAAGCTGTAGAGTTGTGAAGTTAGACATATATTCAGTGACATTGTTGCGTTCGGGATGTAAACACACTTGTTTTGAAGGGGCAATCTACGATTGCTACATCCAATTCTTAGACTTTTTAATTAATAATACATACCCATTGATTCTGGAAGAATAGAACATATAAATGCCTCATGATCTTCGTTCAACCATCAAAACCCAAAATATATGTTTATTTTTTGTACTCCATTGTTGGTAAACAATGTAATTGTAAACAAACACTGTACGGCCCCAAAAACATGGTTCAACTATCGTGTTGATGTCATGGATGGGCAGTCTTTGCATCCGTAGCTCTGTCTATACATTTGAGAGTGGCTACTTTTCTCCAACCTCATCCCTCAGCTTTTTACTAAAACAGTGAAAGGGTGTCGGTGTTGTTGTTGTTGTTTGAACTGCAGATTTCCCCTTTAAAGGGTATGGTTTGTTTTATTGTGTATCCAGAATCCTCCACTCACCTTCAGTTATTACTTAAATATTGTGGAAATTGTAGCTTGCAAATCGTGTGATTGTCGATGTTGTGTGCGTGCGTGCTTTTGTGTCTTTTCTTTATGAGTTGTTAGGTAGATTATTACTGTATGAGTTGTTAGGTGGATTATTACTTTATGAGTTGTTAGGTAGATTATTACTTTATGAGTTGTTAGGTAGATTATTACTGTATGAGTTGTTAGGTAGATTATTACTGTATGAGTTGTTAGGTAGATTATTACTGTATGAGTTGTTAGGTAGATTATTACTGTATGAGTTGTTAGGTGGATTATTACTTTATGAGTTGTTAGGTGGATTATTACTTTATGAGTTGTTAGGTAGATTATTACTTTATGAGTTGTTAGGTAGATTATTACTGTATGAGTTGTTAGGTAGATTATTACTGTATGAGTTGTTAGGTAGATTATTACTTTATGAGTTGTTAGGTAGATTATTTCTTTATGAGTTGTTAGGTGGATTATTTCTTTATGAGTTGTTAGGTAGATTATTACTTTATGAGTTGTTAGGTAGATTATTACTGTATGAGTTATTAGGTAGATTATTACTGTATGAGTTGTTAGGTAGATTATTACTGTATGAGTTGTTAGGTAGATTATTACTGTATGAGTTGTTAGGTGGATTATTACTTTATGAGTTGTTAGGTGGATTATTACTTTATGAGTTGTTAGGTAGATTATTACTTTATGAGTTGTTAGGTAGATTATTACTGTATGAGTTGTTAGGTAGATTATTACTGTATGAGTTGTTAGGTAGATTATTACTTTATGAGTTGTTAGGTAGATTATTTCTTTATGAGTTGTTAGGTGGATTATTTCTTTATGAGTTGTTAGGTAGATTATTACTTTATGAGTTGTTAGGTAGATTATTACTGTATGAGTTATTAGGTAGATTATTACTGTATGAGTTGTTAGGTAGATTATTACTGTATGAGTTGTTAGGTAGATTATTTCTTTATGAGTTGTTAGGTAGATTATTACTGTATGAGTTGTTAGGTAGATTATTACTTTATGAGTTGTTAGGTAGATTATTACTGTATGAGTTGTTAGGTAGATTATTACTGTATGAGTTGTTAGGTAGATTATTACTGTATGAGTTGTTAGGTAGATTATTACTTTATGAGTTGTTAGGTAGATTATTTCTTTATGAGTTGTTAGGTGGATTATTTCTTTATGAGTTGTTAGGTAGATTATTACTTTATGAGTTGTTAGGTAGATTATTACTGTATGAGTTGTTAGGTAGATTATTACTGTATGAGTGTTAGGTAGATTATTACTGTATGAGTTGTTAGGTAGATTATTTCTTTATGAGTTGTTAGGTAGATTATTACTGTATGAGTTGTTAGATAGATTATTACTTTATGAGTTGTTAGGTAGATTATTACTGTATGAGTTGTTAGGTAGATTATTACTGTATGAGTTGTTAGGTAGATTATTACTTTATGAGTTGTTAGGTAGATTATTACTTTATGAGTTGTTAGGTATATTATTACTGTATGAGTTGTTAGGTAGATTATTTCTTTATGAGTTGTTAGGTAGATTATTTCTTTATGAGTTGTTAGGTAGATTATTACTGTATGAGTTGTTAGGTAGATTATTACTGTATGAGTTGTTAGGTAGATTATTTCTTTATGAGTTGTTAGGTAGATTATTACTTTATGAGTTGTTAGGTAGATTATTACTGTATGAGTTGTTAGGTAGATTATTACTGTATGAGTTGTTAGGTAGATTATTACTGTATGAGTTGTTAGGTAGATTATTACTTTATGAGTTGTTAGGTAGATTATTTCTTTATGAGTTGTTAGGTAGATTATTACTGTATGAGTTGTTAGGTAGATTATTACTTTATGAGTTGTTAGGTAGATTATTACTGTATGAGTTGTTAGGTAGATTATTACTGTATGAGTTGTTAGGTAGATTATTACTGTATGAGTTGTTAGGTAGATTATTACTGTATGAGTTGTTAGGTAGATTATTACTGTATGAGTTGTTAGGTAGATTATTACTGTATGAGTTGTTAGGTAGATTATTACTTTATGAGTTGTTAGGTAGATTATTACTGTGTGAGTTGTTAGGTAGATTATTACTTTATGAGTTGTTAGGTAGATTATTACTGTATGAGTTGTTAGGTAGATTATTACTGTATGAGTTGTTAGGTAGATTATTACTGTATGAGTTGTTAGGTAGATTATTACTGTATGAGTTGTTAGGTAGATTATTACTGTATGAGTTGTTAGGTAGATTATTACTGTATGAGTTGTTAGGTAGATTATTACTGTATGAGTTGTTAGGTAGATTATTACTGTATGAGTTGTTAGGTAGATTATTGAGGGTGTTTGTGAACCAAAAGGAGGCATCATTTGCTACAGTGTAAATCAATTTGTTCCTCTGCAGTCGACTGTCAATTTCTTAGCCCTGCGGTGCAGCACATTCCAGAGCTGTGTCTGTTACTGCAGATGAAAGACTCAGTTTCACTAAAGAGGGCAAGTGGAGACAGCTTCCACATGCCTTCCCAGGAAGGTTTCAGTGGGATGAATTACCTCCATTACCTCATATGCTTATGGAAAACAAGAGCAGACGGTCTGACACATTTGGTGGATACTAAAAGGTATTTTTCATAAAATGGGTGGTGTTCAGTGTATTGGGCAGAAGGTCCCCGGTTCGTCTGGACAAGAAGGGAAATTGTAAAGTGAACATTTTGAGTTAATACCGGCCTATTCACAATGACTGTTTTCTGACCTTGTTCATACAAAGAATGACAGTGGGGAAAAGAAATGGCGGAGAAATGGTTGTGGATGTTAATGCCATGGAGAGGATGCTGGAGCTCGCGTGGTAAACGTGATGGACAAGGTAGAGCTGTCTGCTGGGTGGTGGTGGTGTTGTCGTTGGTTGTTTGTTGTTTGTTGTTGTTGGGGTGGTGTATGGGGATGGTGGTGGATGGTGTGTTGTTGGTTGTTGTTGGTTGGTGGAGTGGTGTTGTTTGTGGTGTTTTTGTTGTTGTTGGTGGTTTTGTGGTGGTGTTGTGTGGTGTGTGTTGTTGTGTGGGTGGTGTGTGGTGTTTGTGTGGTGGTGTTGTGTTGTTGGTTGGTGGTGTGTGTTGGTGGTGTGTGGTGTTGGTGGTGGTGTTGTGTGTGGTGGGTGGTGGTGGTGTGGTGGTGTTGTTGTTGGTGTGGTGGTGTTGTTGTGTTGGTGGTGGGTGTGTGTTGGTGGTGGTGGTGTTGTGGTGGTGGTGGTGTGTGTGTGTGGGGGTGTTGGTGGTGTGGGGGGTGGTGGGGTGGTGGTGGTGTGGTGGTTTGGTGGTGGGTGGTTGGTTGTGGTTGGGTGGTGGGTGTTGTTGGTGGTGTTGGTGGTGGTGGTTGTGGTGGTGGGTGTTGTTGTGTGGTGGGTGTGTGGGTGGTTTGTGGTGTGGTGTTTGTGGTGGTGGTGGTGTTGTGTTGTTGGTGGGTGTGGTGGTTGTTGGTTGTGGTGGTGGGTTGTTGTTGGTTGGTGGTGGTGTGTGTTGGGTGGTGGTGGTGTGTTGTGGTGGGGTGGTGTTGTTGTTGGTGGTGGTGGTGTGTGTTGTGGTGGTGGTTGTTGTTGTGGGTTGTTGTGTTGGTGGTGGTGGGTGTTGTTGTGTGGTGGGGTGGTGGTGTTGTTGGGGTTGGTGGTGGTGTGTGTTGTGTGGTTGTGGTGGGGTGTTGTTGTTGGTGGCCGGTGGTGTTGTTGTTGTTGGTGGCGGTCTTTTTTTTGGGTTGGGGGCGGGGGTTTTTTGTTTTTGGGTTTTGGCGGTGTTGTTGTTGTTGGTGGCGGTCTTGTTTTGTTTTTTGGTGGCGGTTTTTGTTTTTGGCGGTGTTGTTGTTTGTTGGTGGGGTGTTTTTTTGTTGGTGGCGGTTTTTTTTTTTTGGTTTTCTTTTTGTTTTTTTTTTGGGTGGGGTTTTTTTTTGTTTGGGGGTTTGTTGTTGGGTTTTTTGTTTTGTTTTTGTTGGGGGGCTGTTTTTTGTTGTTTTTTTGTTTGTTGTTTTCGTTGGGTGGTGGTTTTGTGGTGCCTGGGTTATGTTTGGGTTTGGGGGGGGGTGTTACGTTTGGGCTCAGTGGTTTTGTTGTTGCTTTAACGTACTTCAGTGTCAATTCTCATCATTCTAGAACACACAACAAAAACATTCTAAGTAGAGTCCTACAATTGGCTAATATACTGTGGTTGTCATATACTGCATACTGTGATTGTCATATACTGTATGTTGTTGTTTTCATCTAGAGGAAGAGCGCCATGTGAGAGCCAATGACAGGGACTACAATGATAAGTTCCCATATGCTGTAAGTGAGACACAAAGCACATGGTATCACAGTGTATCTATGAGACTGTCATATCCTTAGATGTAGATGATCTTGACCATTCTAAAATTGTCCCCCCCCCCTCCCCTCCAAAGGACAATCACATCAAAACCTCCAAGTACAACGTCTTCACCTTCCTGCCCATCAATCTGTTCGAGCAGTTCCAGAGAGTGGCCAATACATACTTCTTAGTCCTGCTCATATTACAGGTATGCATCCGACATCATGGTGTGACATAGTGTGCTTGTACAGATTCCATGAACGTATCATGCTTTATACACAGATCCCATGAGCATTTAAAATTAAATCACATCATTCTATCTCATGTAAATTAAATATTTAATGTCGTTCGTAAAATGATCTGACAGATCTGAGCCCATTCCATCGTGCATGTTGAATGTACGTTAGTCAATGATCTGACAGATCTGAGCCCATTCCATCGTGCATGTTGAATGTACGTTAGTCAATGATCTGACAGATCTGAGCCCATTCCATCGTGCATGTTGAATGTACGTTAGTCAATGATGTGACAGATCTGAGCCCATTCCATCGTGCATGTTGAATGTACGTTAGTCAATGATCTGACAGATATGAGCCCCATTCCATCGTGCATGTTGAATGTACGTTAGTCAATGATCTGACAGATCTGAGCCCATTCCATCGTGCATGTTGAATGTACGTTAGTCAATGATCTGACAGATCTGAGCCCATTCCATCGTGCATGTTGAATGTACGTTAGTCAATGATCTGACAGATCTGAGCCCATTCCATCGTGCATGTTGAATGTACGTTAGTCAATGATCTGACAGATCTAAGCCCATTCCATCGTGCATGTTGAATGTACGTTAGTCAATGATCTGACAGATCTAAGCCCATTCCATCGTGCATGTTGAATGTACGTTAGTCAATGATCTGACAGATCTAAGCCCATTCCATCGTGCATGTTGAATGTACGTTAGTCAATGATCTGACAGATCTAAGCCCATTCCATCGTGCATGTTGAATGTACGTTAGTCAATGATCTGACAGATCTAAGCCCATTCCATCGTGCATGTTGAATGTACGTTAGTCAATGATCTGACAGATCTAAGCCCCATTCCATCGTGCATGTTTGAATGTACGTTAGTCAATGATCGACAGATCTAAGCCCATTCCATCGTGCATGTTGAATGTACGTTAGTCAATGATCTGACAGATCTAAGCCCATTCCATCGTGCATGTTGAATGTACGTTAGTCAATGATCTGACAGATCTGAGCCCATTCCATCGTGCATGTTGAATGTACGTTAGTCAATGATCTGACAGATCTGAGCCCATTCCATCGTGCATGTTGAATGTACGTTAGTCAATGATCTGACAGATCTAAGCCCATTCCATCGTGCATGTTGAATGTACGTTAGTCCAATGATCTGACAGATCTGAGCCCATTCCATCGTGCCATGTTGAATGTACGTTAGTCAATGATCTGACAGATCTAAGCCCATTCCATCGTGCATGTTGAATGTACGTTAGTCAATGATCTGACAGATCTAAAGCCCATTCCATCGTGCATGTTGAATGTACGTTAGTCAATGATCTGACAGATCTAAGCCCATTCCATCGTGCATGTTGAATGTACGTTAGTCAATGATCTGACAGATCTAAGCCCATTCCATCGTGCATGTTGAATGTACGTTAGTCAATGATCTGACAGATCTAAGGCCCATTCCATCGTGCATGTTGAATGTACGTTAGTCAATGATCTGACAGATCTAAGCCCATTCCATCGTGCATGTTGAATGTACGTTAGTCAATGATCTGACAGATCTGAGCCCATTCCATCTTTGTCAGGCGTCAGTGTGTAGCGGTAGGACGGAGTCAGGCGCAGGACACAGAGCTAGTAGACAACGTTCTTTACTCGTAAATAACAAATGAACATAAACTCCACGCATGGAGGACAATCCCGCTCACCAGTCGATGACACCAAACAGAGAACAAACAGGCACACAACACAGTGGGAGCCAGAGGGTTAAATAGGGAACAAATCATGGACATAATGGGAACCAGGTGTATACAATGAAGACAAAACAAGTAGAGCACTGAAACATTGATCGGTTGCAGCTAGTAATCCTGTGACGACGAATGCCGAAGCCTGCCCGAGCAAGGAGGAGGAGCAGCCTCGGCTGAATCCGTGACAGTACCCCCGCCCCTTGACGCGCGCCGACACCGGCCTCGGGGACGGCCAGGAGGACGCGGTGCAGGGCGAGTCGGATGACGATGGTGGAAATCCCTCAACATGGAGGGATCGAGGATGTCCCTCCTAGGGACCCAGCACCGTTCCTCCGGACCGTACCCCTCCCACTCCACGAGATACTGCAGACCCCCCACCCGACGCCTCGAATCCAGGATGGAACGGACCGAGTACTGCCGGTTGGCCCCCCTCGATGTCCAGTGGGGGGGGTTGGGGGGGGGGGGGGGGGGAAAAAAAAGGGGGGGGGGGGGGGGTCCCCCAAACCCCCCCAAGGGGGTTTTTTTGGGGGGGGGGGGCCCCCGGGGGCAATTTGTTGCTTTGGGGAAAGACCCCCCCGGGGCCCCGGGGGGGCTGGAAAGGGCCCCGGGTTTTTGGGCGGAAGCTTGGGGGTCTGGGTCTTTTGGGGTTTTTTCAAATTTTTCCCTTTGTTTTTTGGGGTTTTAATTTGGCCCTTTTTTAAAAAGGGTTTTGGGCCCCGGTTAAAATTTTAAGGGGGTTAAAAAACCCCGGGGTTTTGCCCTCGGGCCCGGGGAAAAAAACCCCCCTTTTTTTTCCCCCCCCGCGGGGGGTTTTTCCCCCCCCTTTTCCCCCCCTTTTTTTTCCCTTTTTTTTCCCTTCCGGGTTTCCCGGGGCCCCCCCAGGCGCTGGGGGCCCGGGGGCCCCCCAACCCGGGGCCAAAAAAAAGAATTTCCCCCTCCGGGCCGCCCCGGGCTTCCCCCTTTTTAAAACCCCTTTCCCCCCGGGGGGTAATTTGAGTTTCCCCCCACCCAAAAACGGGCCCCTTTTTTTTTTGGGGGGGGGGGGGGGGGGGGGGGGGGGGGGGGGGGGGGGGGGGGGGGGGGGGGGGGGGGGGCCCCCCCCCCCCCCCCCCCCCCCCCTCGGCTTTTTTTTGGGGCAATTCCTTACTTTGTTGGTTTTGTGGCAAAAACCCCGGGAGTGGTGGGAATTTTGGGCCCGGCCCCTGACCTCCCGGTGGGGCGGGGCCCGGTAAGGCCCCCAAAAATTGGGGGACCGATCCTTTGGGGGCCGGGGCCCCCGGGAGAACCCCCCGAGGGGCGGCGGTCCCCGGGTTTGGGGGCCCCCCTTTGACGGGCATGTTCCAGGGGGCGGAACCTCCGCCGAACCACTTCCCCAGACCCAAGGGCCTGAGGAAGACCAAGGAACCCGAAGGGTAACTAAGGGAAGTGTAAAAAAAACGGTTTTCTAAAACTTAATGGCAACAATCGGGGAACCCCTCCCCAATTCCGAAGGGAATCTCCGCCAGGGCCAGCCCCCCCCCGGGGATCCCGGGCCATCAGGGGCGGCGGGGGTTTTGGCCCCGATCCCTAGCCCCCACTGGGAGCCGGGGGGCCCCCGCCAAAAACCTTTAACGGGAAAAGAAAGGATTGCCCGATCGTTGTATTGTAAGGCCAAACACAAAAAAAAAGGTTTTGGAGAAAGGTGGTGAAGGGGGGGGGTTTTTGGCCATCTTGGCCGGATAAAACGGAAACTCTGCATTCCCAGTGGCCAAACCCAAAAAAACCCCAACCCTGTTAAACCCCTTTCCAAAAAGGGGGGGAAAAGGGTTTAGGGAGGGGGAAAGAAAGGGTGCGTTGAGGGGGAAAGAAAAAACATAATGGGGGAAGGGGGAGGGGGGAAGACCCACCCCCAAAGCCGGGGGACCCGGGGAAGGGGAAAAAGAAAAAAACACCCCCAAAGGGGGAGGTTGCCCCGTCGGGGGGTGGAACGAAAAGAAGGTGAACAGCCGTTGGAACGGGGGTTTTAAACTTCCCCTTTAGGTGGTGCCTTAACCCTGGGACACCGTAGCAGGTAATAAACCTCACCCTGGCAAGGTGTCCCTTTTTCCCAACCCCGGACCCGAAAAACCCCCATTGGACAAGGGAATGGTGACAGTTGAGCCCAAACGGGGAAAATCCCACACAATGGACTTGGCCCCTAAATACCCTCTGAAAGGGGGGGGAGTGGGCTTTTTTCCCCCCGGGGAAAGCGGCAACCACCAGGGGCCTTCAAACAAACGAACCAATTGGAGGTGGGTGCCTCCATAGGGGGCCCTCCTCTTTAAGTCCCCAAAAGGCCGGTTATGGTCCTTTTGGAATTTGGTAAACATGGGAAAAAAAACCCCACTTGGAAGGGCCCATTCCTCCCGGGTAACTCCCCGCCGGGGGGTTAAATTAGGCGGTTTTGCCCCTAAAAGGGTTTTCCGCTTTCAGAGCCTTAACCACAGCTAACAGCTCCTGGTCCCCCACATCATAGTTGCGCTCCGCCGGGCTGAGCTTCTTCGAAAAGAAAGCACAGGGGCGGAGCTTTGGTGCTTTGGTGGTGTACCCGAGCGCTGAGACAATACAGCTCCTATCCCAGCCTCGGCTGCGTCCACCTCAACCTGGAATGCCAAGGAAGGATCCGGATGAGCCAACACTGGAGCCGAGGTAAACAGGTCCTTCGGGTGACCAAAAGTCCTGTCCTCCTCAGCTGACCACTGCAGTCGCACCGGTCCCCCCTTCAGTAAGGAGGTAATGGGAGCCGCTACCTGACCAAAGCCCCGGATAAACCTCCGGTAGTAGTTGGAAAAACCCTAAGAATCGCTGCACCTCCTTAACCGTGGTTGGAGTCGGCCAATTACGCACGCCGGAAATGCGGTCAATCTCCATCTCCATCCCTGACGCGGACAGGTGGTGCCCTAGGAAGGAGATGGACTTTTAAAAGAACAGACATTTCTCCACCTTGACGTACAGGTCATGTTCCAACAGTCGACCAAGCACCTTGCGCACCAGGGACACATGCTCGGCTCGTGTAGCGGAGTATATGAGAATGTCATCTATATACACCACTACACCCTGTCAGTGCAGGTCACTGAAAATCTCATCGACAAAGGATTGAAAGACTGATGGAGCATTCATCAACCCGTACGGCATGGTACCAAGATGTGGTACTAAATGCCATAGCAGCCGTCTCTTCCTGTGACAGAGGACACACGTGACTCCGGGGAAGTGCAGCGCCTACCTGGAGATTTATCGCACAATCCCCCTGTCGATGGGGTGGTGATTGAGTCGCCTTCTTTTTACAGAAGGCGAGAGCCAAATAGGCATATTCGGGGGGAATGTGCATAGTGGAGACCTGGTTTGGACTTTCCACCGTAGTTGCACCTATGGAAACACCTACACACCTCCCTGAGCACTGACGTGACCATCCCTTGAGAGCCCTCTGTTGCCATGAAATTGTGGGGTCATGAGAGGTTAGTCAGGGAAGCCCCAACACCGCTGGAAACGCAGGAGCATCAATCAGAAAGAGACTAACTCTTTCCTCATGCCCCTCCTGCGTTTTCATCCAGAGTGGAGCTGTGACCTCCCTAATCAGGCCTGACCCTAAAGGGTGACTATCTAAGGCATGTACAGGGAAGGGCACATCAACAGGAACATTAGGAATCCCTAAACTACGGGAAAACTTACGATCAATAAAGTTCCCAGCTGCGCCTGAATCTATGAGCGCCTTATGCTGGGAATGTGGGGAAAACTCCGGAAATTCGATGTCAATACACATGTGCGCAACAGGGAGCTCTGGGTGAGTCGGGTGCCTACTCACCTGGGACGGTCCACCAGTGCTCTGCCTGCTGCCTCGACTCCCTGAGGACCCTCCCCAACACCGACCAGCAGTGTGTCCTCTGCGTCCACAGTTGGTGCAGGAGACGGCCCCCCTTCCGGTCTCCCTGAGAGCAGCACCTCCGAGCTCCATCGGTGTAGGGTCGGAGGTGCTGGGGGATGGAATGGACGGCCCCTGATCCGGACGTCCGCGGGTCGCCAACAGGTTATCCAGCCTTATCGACATGTCCACCAGTTGTTCCAGGTTAAGGGTGGTGTCCCTGCAGGCCAGCTCCCGACGAACGTCCTCCCGTAGGTTGCATCGGTAGTGGTCAATCAAGGCCCTCTCATTCCATCCCGCGCTGGCAGCCAGGGTCCTGAAGTCCAGTGTGAAGTCCTGTGCGCTCCTCTTCCCCTGTCTGAGGTGGAACAGACGTTCTCCCGCCACTCTCCCCTCCGGTGGATGATCGAATTCCGCCCGGAAGCGGCGGATGAAATCTTCATAGCGCACTGACGGCGCGTCTATTTCTCCCCACTCTGCGTTGGCCCACTCGAGCGCTCTCCCCGACAGACAGGAGATGAGGGCGGACACGCTCTCGTATCCCGAGGGAGCCGGGTGGATGGTTGCCAGGTAGAGCTCTACCTGGAGCAGAAAACCCTGGCACCCGGCAACTGTACCATCATATACCCTCGGGAGCGAGAGCCGAATCCCACTGGACCCAGGTGACGAAGGGGTGGACAGCGGTGTGGGCTGCTGGGTAGTTGGAGGAGGTGTAGGAAAAAAAAACTCTCTCCCATCGCTCCATGGTGTTCAAAACGCGCTCCATTGCGTTGCCGAGAGTCTGTATCATGGTCGCCTGCTGTTGGACGCGTTCCTCCACTGATCCGGAAGGAATGAATGTACCTGCTGACTCCATTTGAGGTCAGGCGTCAGTGTGCAGCGGACGGACGGAGTCAGGCGCAGGACACAGAGCTAGTAGACAACATACTTTACTCGTAAATAACAAAGGAACATAAACTCCACGCAGGGAGGACAATCCCGCTCACCAGTCGATGACACCAAACATAGAACAAACACGCACTCAACACAGTGGGAGCCAGAGGGTTAAATAGGGAACAAATCATGGACATAATGGGAACCAGGTGTGTACAATGAAGACAAAAACAAGTAGAGCACAGAAACATAGATCGGTAGCAGCTAGTATTCCTGTGACGACGAACGCCGAAGCCTGCCCGAGCAAGGAGGAGGAGCAGCCTCGGCTGAATCCGTGACAATCGTGCATGTTGAATGTACGTTAGTCAATGATCTGACAGATCTAAGCCCATTCCATCGTGCATGTTGAACGTACGTTAGTCAATGATCTGACAGATCTAAGCCCATTCCATGAATGTACGTTAGTCCTACTCTTTATTTCTCTTGAGACAGTCCTCCCAGTGACTGTACGCGTAGCCCTCTCTTCTGAGTTTGGACCTAGTATCTAGGTGTGTAGCAGTACAATTAGACCTTGTGGTCTGTAAATAGGCAGCCCTGTGGAATTGACTGTGTGGACTGTGTGGACCTAACCATAATACATAGTGTAGTGCCTCCACCTAGTAGGTAATATACCCATTAAGAATAAATGGTCTACCCACAAGGAATTATTAACCGGGCTGATTGGCTGAAAGCTGTGGTATATCAGACAATACCACACCTCCTCTGGCCTTATTGCTTAAATATAACATGACCACACAGTATATGAAACAACACAGTCAACTATTCCTTTAAGGCGAGGCACCACAGGCTGAAATGGAATGTTTGCAACTGATCCATTTTTAGATTTTTTGGGGTATTTTGGTCCTTTAATATGTCAAAAACGTTCGGTTTTCTTTTGTTCATCATACTACCGTCATGAACATTTCATGAATTTTAACCACATTCGAATGGACATCAATCCATAATTTCAAAACTCACTACATGTAATCATATATCATTTAAATGCCCATTTCATAGAGAATGTTACAAACTGTACTAAACATTTCCATGACATAGACTGACCAGATGAATCCAGGTGAAAGCTATGATCCCTTACTGATGTCACCTGTTAAATCCACTTCAATCAGTGTAGATGAAGGGGAGGAGACAGGTTAAAGGATGATTTTTAAGCCTTGAGCACCGTTTTGAGTCAAGAACTGCAACGCTGCTGGGTTTTTTACGCTCAACAGTTTCCTGTGTGTATCAAGAATGGTCCACCACCCAAAGGACATCCAGCCAACTTGACACAACTGTGGGAAGGAGTGGAGTCAACATGGGCCAGCATCAACATGAGAAGGCTTTCGACACCTTGTAGAGTCCAAGCCCTGACGAATTGAGGCTGTTCTGAGGGCAAAAGGTGGTGCAAGATATTAAGGCAGACTTCATCCAGTGTCCAGAAAAATGTATTTGCTTTATATGCAATAAAATAACAACAGCACATACTGAATTTCATGAGATATCGCCTCATTTGCATATTTCAATACAATATTTCAGAAAGTTGTAATACAAAAAAAGTATTAGATTGGTGTCTATATTCAACTGGTAAAAGTTAATTGTGATATGATTAAGTGGGGGAAATCTGCATATTGGGGTGTGGCGCCTTGCCTTAACTAAACAACAACAAAGTAAAGTTATGAAATATTATTAAACTCAATTTAGTTTCAATAAACAACTCAAGTTGAACACATGTTATAAACCAACAATTATTATATTATTATGTAATTATTATACCCTTGGTATCACTACAGTGCCTTCGGAAAGTATTCAGACCACTTGGCTTTTTCCACATTTTGTTAGGTTACAGCCTTATTATAAAATTGATTAAATTGTATTTTTTTCCTCATCAATCTACACACAATACCCCATAATGACAAAGCAAAAACAGGATTGTAGAAATGTTTGCAAATTGTTTATAAAAAAAATTCCCCGGAAATATTACATTTCCATAACTATTCAGACCCTTCACTAAGTACTTTGTTGAAGCACCTTTGGCAGCGATTACAGCCTCAAGTCTTCTTGGGCGTGACGCTACAAGCTTGGCACACCTGTATTTGGGGAGTTTCTCCCATTCTTCTCTGCAGATCCTCTCAAATCAAATCAAATCAAATCAAATTGTATTTGTCACATGCGCAGAATACAACAGGTGTAGACCTTACAGTGAAATGCTTACTTACAAGCCCTTAACCAACAATGCAGTTTTAAGAAAAAATAAGTGTTAAGAAAGTATTTACTACATAAACTGAAGTAAACAATAAATAAATATAAATACAAATGCTCTTCAGTACGGTACATTCCACTGCCATTGTTTGTCTATGGAGATTGCATGGCTACGTGCTCTTTTTTACACACCTGTCAGCAACGGGGTGCAGCTGAAATAGCCGAATCCACTGACTTGAAGGGGTGTCCACACACATGTATGTCCCACATGCAAACACAGTGAACAATACAGTCCGTGCTAGAAAAAGCTCAAAGTAACCAGGGGGTTTACATAGCTACGGATATGATGTAAACATATGGCTCCGTGTTCTCCTGTTCGTAGTTGATCCCTGAGATCTCCTCCCTGTCCTGGGTCACGACCACCGTGCCTCTGGTCCTGGTGCTGGTGATCACTGCAGTCAAAGATGCCACTGACGACTATGTGAGTTAGCTGTCCAGTTGCTATACCTATTGAATGATTGAATGAATGAATGATTGAATGAATTATTTAATTAATTTGATGATTAAAAATGTATATATATACAGCCAAGAAAAAAGTAGTACAGTTACACTCATTTGATTTACATTTTAAGTCATTTAGCAGAAGCTCTTATCCAGAGCGACTTACAGGAGCAATTAGGGTTAAGTGCCTTGCTCAAGGGCACATCGACTGATTTTTCACCTAGTCAACTCGGGGGTTCAAACCAGCGACCTTTCGGTTACTGGCCCAATGCTCTTAAACGCTAAGCTACCTGCCACCCATTAGCCTTTCACATTGATATACATGTACACTACCAGTCAAAAGTTTGGACACACCTACTCATTCAAGGGTTTTTCTTTATTTTTACTATTTTCAACATTGTAGAATAATATTGAAGACATCAAAACTATGAAATAACACAAATTAAATCATGTAGTAAACAAAACAGTGTTAAACAAATCAAAATATATTTTATATTTGAGATTTTTCAAATAGCCACCCTTTGCCTTGATGACAGCTTTGCACACTCTTGTCATTCTCTCAACCAGCTTCACCTGGAATGCTTTTCCAACAGTCTTGAAGGAGTTCCCACATATGCTGAGCACTTGTTGGCTGCTTTTCCTTCACTCTGCCGTCCGACTCATCCCAAACCATCTCAATTGGGTTGAGGTTGGGGAATTGGGGAGGCCAGGTCATCTGATGCAGCACTCCATCACTCTCCTTCTTGGTCAAATAGCCCTTACACAGCCTGGATGTGTGTTGGGTCATTGACCTGTTGAAAAACAAATGATAGTCCCACTAAGCCCAAACCAGATGGGATGGCGTGGGGCTGCAGAATGCTGTGGGAGCCATGCTGGTTAAGTGTGCCTTGAATTCTAAATAAATCACAGACAGTGTCACCAGCAAAGCACCCCCACACCATAACACCTCCTCCTCCATGCTTTACGGTGGGAAATAAACATACAGAGATCATCCATTCACCCACACTGAATCTCACAAAGAAAACAAATTTGGACTCCAGACCAAAGGACACATTTCCACCGGTCTAATGTCCATTGCTCGTGTTTCTTGGCCAAGTCTCTTCTTATTATTGGTGTCCTTTAGTAGTGGTTTCTTTGCAGCAATTCGACCATGAAGGCCTGATTCACACAGTCTCCTCTGAACAGTTGATGTTGAGGTGTCTGTTACTTGAACTCTGTGAAGCATTTATTTGGGCTGCAATTTCAGAGGCTGGTAACTCTAATGAACTTATCCTCTGCAGCAGAGGTAACTCTGGGTCTTCCATTCCTGGTGCGGTCCTTATGAGAGACAGTTTCATCATAGCGCTTGATGGTTTTTGTGACTGCACTTGAAGAAACCTTTAAAGTTCTTGAAATGTTCCGTATTGACTGACTTTCATGTCTTAAAGTAATGATGGACTGTCGTTTCTCTTTGCTTATTTGATCTGTTCTTGCCATAAAATGGACTTGGTATTTTACCAAATAGGGCTATAATCTGTATACCCCCCCTACCTTGTCACAACACAACTGATTGGCTCAGACACATTAAGAAGGAAAAAAATCCACAAATTAACTTTTAAGAAGGCACACCTGTTAATTGAAATGCATTCCAGGTGACTACCTCATGCAGCTGGTTGAGAGAATGCCAAGAGTGTGCAAAGCTGTCATCAAGGCAAAGGGTGGCTATTTGAAGAATCTCAAATATAAAATATATTTTGATTTGTTTAACACTTTTTTTTTGGTTACTACATGATTCCATATGTGTTATTTCATAGTTTTGATGTATTCACTATTATTCTACAATGTAGAAAATAGTTTTAAAAAATAAAGAAAAACCCTGGAATGAGTAGGTGTGTCCAAACTTTTGACTGGTACTGTATATGTACATCTATTATCAGCTATTGGCAGTGCATGACCATTGTAAAATACATCTTCTCTATTTCAGTTCAGGTATAAAAGCGATCAACAGGTCAACAATCGTCAGTCTCAGGTACTCAGGGGAAAGTAAGTATGAATCCTCAATGAACACTATGGACCTTTAATGTGAACATTGATTGTGCAAATAGCAAACTTTTTTTTGTACCTTCAAAATTGCACAAAAGAGATGAAGACCTTTCTTTGAACAGGATAGATTTTATGCTTTTGTGCTTATGATAATCACCATTATGTCTGTTCTATTGAGAAAAGACTGTGTATCTGTCTCAGTCTACAGAATGAGAAGTGGATGAACGTATGTGTGGGAGATATCGTCAAGCTGGAAAACAATCAGTTTGTGGCAGTGAGTCATTTTCTTTCAATTTCACACTTAGATGCTCCCATAAACTCATGAATAACATCCACGTCATTCCTTGCAACGAGGGCTATTCCTCTACTGTACCTGTAATGGTCTACTGTGAAGCAGCGGTGCAGAGATTGGTCTACTCCCTGCTGCCTGCCAGTAATGCCCTCTCCCTCCTCTCCTACAGGCTGACACACTACTGCTCTCCAGTAGTGAACCATATGGACTGTGTTACATAGAGACAGCTGAGCTAGACGGGTAAAGATGCTGCATGTATTTGCTTCTGCGAGGCTGGGGAAACTGAATAATACATTTTAAGGGGGGGGGGGGGGCTGGTTCGAAAGAGGGCTATCTGTGTCACAGTGTTTCAGCAGTGGTTTTTACACTCTGAGCATCATCAGGAAATAAGACAGTTGCTGATGGTTGAGGATTTGTCCCAGTTTACCGTAGCAGTTCTGTGAACTGGTTTGTTTGAGCCAACTCTAGTATACTACAGTACATGAATGAGTCACCTTGAACCACAAACAGCTCTCTGGTCTGTTTGCGCTCTCACCACTGACCACTATCTACCCTTGTTTAAATGTTTCAGTTGCAACTTGCACTTTATGTGTGGGAACCCCCCCAACCAAAAAAAAAATACTTTTTTTTTTAGTGTGTGCTTTTTTTTGCCATGGGGCAGAGAGGGAAAATTGTAGTTTTATAGCTAATCACATGCTATTGTACACATTTTGCTATGAGACTGAAAGACAATGTTGCTGTTTTAAAGCTCAGGTATTCTTGAAAGACCGGACAATCAACTTTTTTCCCACAAATATTTGTCTTAATATTAACAAAATGTGAAATATACTCTACCGCTCAAATGTTTTAGAACACCTACTCATTCAAGGGGTTTTCTTTATTTGTTACTATTTACTACATTGTAGAATAATAGTGAATACATCAAACCTATGAAATAACACAGATGGAATCATGTAGTAACCAAAACAGTGTTAAACAAATCAAAATATATTTTAGATTTTAGATTCTTCAAATAGCCACCCTTTGCCTTGATGACAGCTTTGCACACTCTTGGCATTCTCTCAACCAGTCACAAAAACCATCAAGCGCTATGATGAAACTGTCTCTCATGAGGACCGCCACAGGAATGGAAGACCCAGAGTTACCTCTGCTGCAGAGGATAAGTTCATTAGAGTTAACAGCCTCAGAAATGGCAGCCCAAATTAATGCTTCACAGAGTTCAAGTAACAGACACATCTCAACATCAACTGTTCAGAGGAGACTGTGTGAATCAGGTCTTCATGGTCGAATTGCTGCAAGGAAACCACTACTAAAAGGACACCAATAAGAAGAAGAGACCTGCTTGGGCCAAGAAACACTAGCAATGGACATTAGACTCAGTTGGTATAGCATGGCGCTTGCAACGCCAGGGTTGTGGGTTCGATTCCCACGGGGGGCCAGTATGAAATAAATGTATGAAAAAATGTATGCACTCACTAACTGTAAGTCGCTCTGGATAAGAGCGTCTGCTAAATGACTAAAATGTAAATGAGTCCAAATTGGAGATTTTTGGTTCCAACCGCCGTGCGCGGTTGATTCTATTATTGACTTACCTTTATCTAGAATCTAGAATCTCCAGTTGAAACTAGCTAGCCAGCTAACTAGCTACTTGCTATTAGCCACAGCTAGCGGTGTTTCACCCAGAACATTGGATTTTTTTTTCTGCGGGATTAATTTTAATCACTGGACATTGATCACCGGATATTCGGCCAGTCTGCACAGCGCGTTATCGACCCAGAACATATCAGTTTTTCCGCCGGAATCACTGAATCACTGGACCTTTAACTCCGGATTCGTCGCTACCAGCTAGCTACAACAAAACGGACGCTGTGGTCTGGCTAATCATCATCCTGAGCTAGGCCCATCTCCCGGCTATCTACCTCTCTGTCAACCGGACGGGACCACCTAGTGTTGACACGGAGCCCCGCCGATCCTACACGACTGGTCTGCCGACGAAATCGTCTGATGTGGTTACGACGTTAACCACGAAGATTCCATCCATCTGCTAGCCCTGGCCCGCTAGCACACGCTAGCCGTGGCCTCCTACTCACTAGTACTTCACCACCGGACCTTATGATAACTCAGCTATACAGCTGATATCTGCTGGACTGTTCCTTTTTACGGTACTACATCCTGTTTATGTTTAGCCTCAGCCCAAACATGGTTAGTTTATTGTTGTTTCGGTTATTTCTAATTGTACTATATCACTGTAGACCCCCCAGCCTAGCTAAACCTGCATTAGATAGCTCCTTTGCCCCTCCCCCAATACACGCGGAGACCGACTCAATTGATGCCTCCAGCGATGCTATCTCTTTCATTGTTACCCAACGCTTAGGTTTACCTCCACTTTACTCATATCCTTCCATATCCTTGTCTGTACATAATGCCCTGAATCTTTTCTATAACACCCGGAAATCTGCCCCCTTTATTCTATGTACCCAACGCACTAGAAGACCAGTTCTTAAAGCCTTTAGCCGTATCCTTATTCTAGTCCTCCTCTGTTCCTCTGGTGATGTAGAGGCTAACCCAGGCCCTGCAGCCCTCAGTATCACTCCTACTCCCCAGGCGCTATCATTTGATGACTTCTGTAATCGCAAAAGTCTTGGTTTCTTGCACATAAATATCAGAAGTCTACTTCCTAAGTTTGAGTTATTCACTGCGTTAGCACACTCTGCCAACCCTGATGTTCTAGCAGTGTCTGAATCCTGGCTCAGGAAGGCCACCAAAAATTCTGAAATGTCCATCCCCAACTATAACATTTTCCGTCTAGATAGAACTGCCAAAGGGGGTGGAGTTGCAATCTACTGTAGAGATAGCCTGCAGAGCTCTATCATACTATCCAGGTCTGTGCCCAAACAGTTTGAGCTTCTACTTCTAAAAATCCACCTTTCCAGAAATAAGTCTCTCACTGTTGCCGCTTGCTACAGACCCCCCTCAGCCCCCAGCTGTGCCCTGGACACCATATGTGAATTGATTGCCCCCCATTTATCCTCAGAGTTTGTACTGCTTGGTGACCTAAATTGGGATATGCTTAATACCCCAGCCATCCTACAATCCAAGCTAGATGCCCTCAACCTCACGCAAATTATCAACGAACCTACCAGGTACAACCCTAAATCCGTAAACATGGGTACCCTCATAGATATCATCCTGACTAACATACCCTCTAAATACACCTCAGCTGTCTTCAACCAGGATCTCAGCGATCACTGCCTTATTGCCTGCGTCCGTAACGGTTCCGCGGTCAAACGACCACCCATCATCACTGTCAAACGCTCCCTAAAAAACTTTAGCGAGGAGGCCTTCCTAATTGACCTGGCCCAGGTATCCTGGATGGATATAGATCTCATTCCGTCAGTAGAGGATGCCTGGTTGTTCCTTAAAAGTAATTTCCTCTCAATCTTAAATAAACATGCCCCATTCAAAAAATACAGAACTAAGAACCGATATAGCCCCTGGTTCTCCTCAGACTTGACTGCCCTTGACCAGCACAAAAACATCCTGTGGCGTACAGCATTAGCATCAAATAGCCCCCGCGATATGCAACTTTTCAGGGAAGTTAGGAACCAATATACACAAGCAGTCAGGAAAGCAAAGGCTAACTTTTTCAAACAGAAATTTGCATCCTGTAGCACTAACTCCAAAAAGTTTTGGGACACTGTAAAGTCCATGGAGAATAAGAGCACTTCCTCCCAGCTGCCCACTGCACTGAGGCTAGGAAACACTATCACCACCGATAAATCTACAATAATCGAGAATTTCAACAAGCATTTTGCTACAGCTGGCCATGCTTTCCATCTGGCTACCACTAACCCGGCCACCAACTCTGCACCCTCTGCTGCAACTTGCCCATGCCCCCCCCCCCGCTTCTCCTTCACACAAATTCAGACAGCTGATGTTTTGAAAGCGCTGCAAAATCTGGACCCCTACAAATCAGCTGGGCTAGACAATCTGGACCCTTTCTTTCTAAAACTAGCCGCCGAAATTGTCGCTACCCCTATTACTAGTCTGTTCAACCTCTCTTTCATAACGTCTGAGATCCCCAGAGATTGGAAAGCTGCCGCGGTCATCCCCCTCTTCAAAGGGGGTGACACTCTAGATCCAAACTGCTACAGACCTATATCCATCCTGCCCTGCCTTTCGAAAGTATTCGAAAGCCAAGTTAACAAACAGATCATCGACCATTTCGAATACCACCGTACCTTCTCCGCTATGCAATCCGGTTTCCGAGCTGGTCACGGGTGCACTTCAGCCACGCTCAAGGTCCTAAACGATATTATAACCGCGATTGATAATAGACAGTACTGTGCAGCCGTCTTCATCGACCTGGCCAAGGCTTTTGACTCTGTCAACCACCGCATTCTTATTGGCAGACTAAATAGCCTTGGTTTCTCAAATGACTGCCTCGCCTGGTTCACCAACTACTTCTCAGATAGAGTTCAGTGTGTCAAATCGGAGGGCCTGTTGTCTGGACCTATGGCAGTCTCTATGGGGGTGCCACAGGGTTCAATTCTTGGGCCGACACTTTTCTCCGTGTATATCAATGATGTCGCTCTTGCTGCTGGTGACTCTCAGATCCACCTCTACGCAGACGACACCATTTTGTATACATCTGGCCCTTCATTGGACACTGTGTTAACAAACCTCCAAACGAGCTTCAATGCCATACAACAATCCTTCAGTAGCCTCCAACTGCTCTTAAACACTAGTAAAACTAAATGCATGCTTTTCAATCGAACGCTGCTGGCACCCGCCCACCCGACTAGAATCACCACTCTCGACGGGTCTGACCTAGAGTATGTGGACAACTACAAATACCTAGGTGTCTGGTTAGACTGTAAACTCAACTTCCAGACTCACATAAAGAATCTCCAATCCAAAGTTAAATCTAGAATCGGCTTCCTATTTCGCAATAAAGCCTCCTTCACTCATGCTGCCAAACATGCCCTCGTAAAACTGACTATCCTACCGATCCTTGACTTCGGCGATGTAATTTACAAAATAGCCTCCAACACTCTACTCAGCAAATTGGATGTAGTCTATCACAGTGCCATCCGTTTTGTCTCCAAAGCCCCATACACTACCCACCACTGTGACCTGTACGCTCTTGTTGGCTGGTTCTCACTACATGTTCGTCGTCAAACCCACTGGCTCCAGGCCATCTATAAATCACTGCTAGGCAAATCCACGCCTTATCTTAGCTCATTGGTCACCATAGCAGCACCCACCCGTAGTCTACGCTCCAGCAGGTATATCTCACTGGTCATTCCCAAAGCCAACACCTCCTTTGGCCGCCATTCCTTCCAGTTCTCTGCTGCCAATGACTGGAACGAATTGCAAAAATCTCTGAAGCTGGAGACTCTTATCTCCTTCAATAACTTTAAGCATCAGTTGTCAGAGCACCTTACCGATCACTGCACCTGTACACAGCCCATCTGAAATTAGCCCACCCAACTACCTCATCCCTATATTGTTATTCATTTTGCTCTTTTGCACCCCAGTATCTCTATTTGCACATAATCTCTTGCACATCTAGCATTCCAGTGTTAATACTATTGTAATTATTCTGCACTATAGCCTATTTATTGCCTTACCTCCATAACTTGCTACATTTGCACACACTGTATATATATTTTCTGTTGTATTTCTGACTTTATGTTTTTTACCCCATATGTAACTCTGTGTTGTTTTTATTGCACTACTTTGCTTTATCTTGGCCAGGTCGCAGTTGTAAATGAGAACCTGTTCTCAACTGGCTTACCTGGTTAAATAAAGGTGAAATAAAAAAATAAAAAATAAAGTGCCTTTGTGAGACACGGTTTGGGTGAACGGATGATCTCTGCATGTGTATTTCCCACCGTAAAGCATGGAGGAGGAGGTGTTATGGTGTGGGGGTGCTTTGCTGGTGACACTGTGATTTATTTAGAATTCAAGGCACACTTAACCTGCATGGCTACCACAGCATTCTGCAGCGATACACCATCCCATCTGGTTCGTGCTTAGTTGGACTATCATTTGTTTTTCAACAGGACAATGACCCAACACACCTCCAGGCTGTGTAAGGGCTATTTGACCAAGAAGGAGAGTGATGGAGTGCTGCATCAGTTGACCTGGCCTCCACAATCCCCCGACCTCAACCCAATTGAGATGGTTTGGGATGAGTCAGACCGCAGAGTGAAGGAAAAGCAGCCAACAAGTGCTCAGCATAAGTGGGAACTGTTGGAAAAGCATTCCAAGTGAAGCTGGTTGAGAGAATGCCAAGAGTGTGCAAAGCTGTCAAGGCAAAGGGTGGCTACTTTGAAGAATCTAAAATCTAAAATATATTTTGATTTGTTTAACACTGTTTTGTTTACTACATGATTCCATATGTGTTATTTCATAGTTGTGATGTCTTCACTATTATTCTACAATGTAGAAAATAGTAAAAATAAAGAAAAACCCTTGAATGAGTAGGTATTCTAAAACCTTTGACCGGTAGTGTATATTTTGATGGACCAAAGTATAAGCCATCACACCATGTAAAGGAACAAACTCCTACTTATCATTTTTTTCTTCATAAAATACAACTACTTGTATTCATGTAAACTCCATCAGAAACCATAAAAGGCATTTCATTTTTACAATTATTGTCCAACAAGTGTTAAAAGGCCTTGATCGTATAATTCTAACATTAGATTATTCAAATATGTAATACAAATCTCAACTTCTTTTTGTTTGGTTTTATAGTACTATTAAAATATATAGTACACATTTTTGTAACGTGTACGCTGGGAGTCGGGAAGCAAGTACAGGAAGTGAATTTAATAATAAATGAAACATGGAACAAAACAAGAAACACGAGTAGCGTCCAAACATGAAACACATTTAGAACATAAAACAACATTTATAAAGCAATCATTATCCCTTAAGTCTATCACAGCAAATACTTCAATTATTTAAGCATACAGTGCCTTCAGAAAGTATTCACACCCCTTGACTTTTTCCACATTCTGTTACGTTACAACCTGAGTTTAAAATGGATTAAATGTAGATGTTGTGTCACTGGCCTACACACAATACCCCATAATGTCAAAGTGGAATGATGTTTTCAGATTTTTTTTTTCAAAATCGTTAAAAATGAAAAGCTGAAATGTCTTGAGTCAATAAGTATTCAACCCCTTTGTTATGGCAAGCCTAAATAAGTTCAGGAGTAAACATTTGCTTAACAAGTCACATAATACATTACATGGACTCACTCTGTGTGCAATAATAGTGTTTAACATAATTTTTGAATGGCTACTTATTCTCTGTACCCCACACATAAAATTATCTGTAAAGTTCCTCAGTCGAGCAGTGAATTTCAAACACAGATTCAACCACAAAGACCAAGGAGGTTTTCCAATGCCTCGATAAGAAGGGACTTATTGGTAGATGAGTCAAAATAAAAAAAAGCGGACATTGAACATCCCTTTGAGCATGGTGAAGTTATGAATTACTCTTTGGATGGTCTATCAATACACCCAGTCACTACAAAGATACAGGCGTCCTTCCTAACTCAGTTGTCGGAGAGGAAGGAAACCACTCAGGGATTTCACCATGAGGCCAATGGTGACCTTAAAACAGTTACAGAGTTTAATGGGTGTGATAGGAGAAAATTAAGGATGGATCAACAACATTGTAGTTAATCCACAATACTAACCTAGATGACAGAGTGAAAAGAAGGGAGCCTGTGCAGAATAACAATATTCCAAAACATGCAACCTGTTTGCAATAAGGCACTAAAGTAAAACTTTATCATGTTATGGGTATGCTTGTCATCAGCAAGGACTAAGGATTTTTTTTTAGGATAGAAAGAAACAGAATAGAGCTGTGCACAGCCAAAATCCAAGAGGAAAACCTGGTTCAGTCTGCTTTCCAACAGACACTGGGAGATAAAATCACCTTTCAGGCAGGACAAAAACCTAAAACACAAGGCCAAATATACACTGGAGTAGCTTACCTAGACATTGAATGTTCCTGAGTGGCCTAGTTACAATTTTGATCTGCTTGAAAATCTAGAATTTTAAAAAGAATAATGTGCAAACATTGTACAATCCAGGTGTGGAAAGCTCTTAGAGACTTACCCAGAAAGACTCTCAGCTGTAATCACTGCCAAAGTTGATTCTAACATGTATTTTCTCAGGGGTGTGAATACTTATGTAAATTAGATATTTCTGTTTTTCATTTTCAATACATTTGCAAAAATGTCTAACATGTTTTCACTTTCTCATTATGGGGTGTTGTGTGGAGATTGGTGAGAAAAATAGTCTATTTAATCCATTTTGAATTCAGGCTGTAACACAACAAAACATGTAATAAGTCAAAGGGCATGAATACTTTCTGAAGGCACTGTATGTTGCAGAACAGTGATTACAATATTTTGTATGTTTTCATATTTTTGACTTTTTGGGAGAGTTTGAAATTGGGATCCTTTGCTCCGGACAAGGGCATTTCCAGGCATAGAGCCAACATGGAAATGACTAGTACTTAGAAAATTCCCCCCCAAAATATTTTCCCTTATGAAATTCCCCTAAATTTAAATTTAAGCTCAAATAATGCAATAAAATCATCTTTATTTTTTTTATGTCCTTGCCGGACAAGGATGTCCCGACTTTCAAGAATCTCTGAGCTAATTTCCTGCTATTCTACACATTTTGCCATGAGGCTGAGTGAAAATGTTGTAGTTTTAAAGCTAATTTCCAGTCATTCAAAACCTGTTTTACATGGCTTATGATGTGTGGTACTTCCGCCAGTGGTACTTCCTGGTACTTCAACAATGTTTGTAACTAACAGTGCCCGTGCAGTGCTTGTTTCATTGAATCCTAAAGAAACAAACAAACAAGTAATTCATAAGTTATTACTGTGTAATAGCATTTTACCATGTACTTTCTAAGCAAATACATGGTTAACTTATTCCTGTACTGTAAAATAAAATACCAATGTTTCTGCCACAGAGAGACCAACCTGAAGGTTCGCCAGGCTTTGACTGTGACCTCGGACTTGGGAGCAGACATAGCAAAGCTGGCTGACTTTAATGGTACAGTATATCAACTCATACTGCATTCTGTGTGTATTAAAACTAGACCTCTGTAGTTTATATCACGTTACCTTGGCTCTCTTTTCTTGGTATTTGACCTTGGGTAGTCTGGTTGTTGCTATGACGAACTCGGGGGGGGGTAATTTTGTCTGATACTTGAGTGTCTATTTGGAGGCTGTCCATTTTGAGGCAAGTGGAACGGCTGTTTCCATGGTTCATGACGTCTCACCGTTGTGCTGTTTTGCTCTCCTGTGGAATTACTGATCTGGAGACAGAGCTGGTCAGTAACGAGTGGAAATGAAGGCATAGTGTTAGTGTATGTTGTGTCGGGGAGGATTTTATGTTTACATCATAGTCTTACATATATTTGACTTTCTTTAGGTCTGTCTGTGTTCATACTATATGCCTATGTACAAATGTGTGAAATGATGTCGCTTTTTCCCTTTTATGTAGTTTATTTATTTTATTTGTATTTTTTTTGCAACGTAGGAGGCCCAGGTTGAAATCCCTGTTGGGGTTGTATTGACACTGACAATACAACATAACCCCACGTAAAGCGCCCAGCAGACAGAGCAACAGACAAGAGTAAACACCTTGCTGCCTGCTGACTGACTGGCTTCCTGTTGTGAACGTGAACAGCATAGAAATAAAAATAACTAGAACGGGGGTCATTCCGAATTCAAGTCAACATTCTGTTACGGCTTTACCCATTCTAGTCATTATAATTCTATGTTAAGACATCTTGCTGCTGCCTGCTGTGCTGACTGCCTGGCTTCCTGTGGTGAATCTGTGTCAACTGTTTTCCCACTCAGGAGAAGTCATCTGTGAGCCTCCCAACAACAAGCTGGATAGGTTCACAGGTACTCTGTACTGGAGAGATAACAAGTACCCTCTGGATAACGAAAAGATGCTGCTTAGAGGCTGTGTGCTCCGGAACACGGACTGGTGCTTCGGAATGGTCATCTTTGCTGGTATGAATGTAATGAACAGTCTTGATGTACAGCATTCATATTATGAAGTCATCAATTATCAGTCAAAATTCTGATGACTTCCTAATATGGATGCCGTGTTTCTTGGTGTTTTGTTGTCAGGGATTTCACCGTGTCTGGCTGGCTACATGCATATATCTTATTCGACGAGAGAGTATTTCGAGAGTCTCGTTTGTAATCAAATGGGAAAACACAATGTAGCACAGGGTTGCTGTATGTCAATTGGCCCAGCGTCGTCCGGGTTTGGCCGGGGTACGCCGTCATTGTAAATAAGAATTTGTTCTTAACTGACTTGCCTGGTTAAATAAAATAAAATAAATAAAAGTAGCTTCTCTCCTCATGATTGTCCTCCTCTATGTGATGTGTGATTCCCTGCCCCTCTAGGGCTGCAAACCAAACTGATGCAGAACTGTGGGAGGACTAAATTCAAAAGGACCAGCATTGATAAACTGATGAACACTTTAGTTTTATGGGTGAGCACTTTTTCTACATCCTGTGAAGTGCTCAAAAAAGAACATTGCCTTTTTGATGGTAAAAAAAAAGGTCCATGTTGCGACTGGCTCAACCTTTGTGCATCCAACATATCAACGTTAAGTTCGAACTGTTTATGAAACATTGTTGATACTGAATACCAACTTGCTGATCTCTACCTCCAGATATTTGGCTTCCTAGTCTGCATGGGTGTGATCCTGGCCATTGGCAACACCATCTGGGAGCAGAAGGTTGGGAGGAGCTTCAGTGTCTACCTCCTGTGGGATGAACCAATCAGAAACAACAACGTGGTGTTCTCTGGGTTCCTCACCTTCTGGTCTTACATCATCATCCTCAACACAATGGTGCCCATCTCTCTTTACCTCAGGTAGGTTTTGTCTGTCTGTCTGTCTGTCTGTCTGCCTGCCTGTCTCTCTTTCTCTTTCTCTCGCTCTGTCTGTCTGTCTGTCTGTCTGTCTGTCTGTCTGTCTGTCTGTCTGTCTGTCTGTCTGTCTGTCTGTCTGCCTGTCTGCCTGTCTGTCTCTCTGTATGTCTGTCTGTCTGCCTTTGTGTCTGTCTGTCTGTCTGTCTCTCTTTCTCTCGCTCTGTCTTTCTCTGTCTGTCTGTCTGTCTGTCTGTCTGTCTGTCTGTCTGTCTGTCTGTCTGTCTGTCTGTCTGTCTGTCTGTCTGTCTGTCTGTCTGTCTGTCTGTCTGTCTGTCTGTCTGTCTGTCTGTCTGTCTGTCTGTCTGACTGTCTGTCTGTCTGTCTCTCTTTCTCTCTCTCTCGCTCTGTCTTTCTCTCTCTGTCTGTCTGCCTGCTTGTCTGCCTGTCTGTCTTTCTGTATGTCTGTCGGTCTGCCTTTGTGTCTGTCTGTCCGTCTGTCTGTCTGTTTGTCTGTCTGGTCTTACATAATCATTCTCAACACAGTTGTACTCACCTCTCTCTACATCAGGTACGGAACCAGCAACATAGGAGATCATTTAATTACTATGGATTTCTTTACTTAAAGCTAGTCACTTAGCTAGCTACTAGCTACTTAGTTGCTACATACATTTTCTTTATTTATAAATTGATAAAATATACCCATTGATTCTTGAAGAATATAACTTATATATGCATCATGTCGTACCCCATCAGAACCCAAAATACAAGCCTGTTTTACTCCAATGTTTGTAAACAAAGTAAATGTAAACAAACACTGTATAGCCTCAAAACATGGTTAAAACTATACGTTTTGTATCATGGATGGTCAGTCCTCGCATCCATAGCTCTGTCCATGAATTTGAGAGTGGTTAACATTTATCCAGGCCCATCCCTCAGCTTTTTACCAAAACACTTTGTTATTGTTTCAACTAAGGATTCTAGCTTGAACTTAGTTCAATTTAACTAAACTCTTAGTTTAACTGACCTCTTAGCTTAACTAATCTCTTAATTGACCTTGTACTCCTCTTTGTCTAAGTGTGGAGGTTATTCGTCTGGGTCACAGCTACTTTATTAACTGGGACAGGAAGATGTATTACATCCAGAGGGACACTCCAGCCGAGGCCAGAACCACCACGCTCAACGAGGAGCTGGGACAGGTGGGTGAATGAATGAATGGAAGGATTAATGAATGAATTAATGAATTATTTAATTAATACATTTACAGTGAGGGGGAAAAAGTATTTGATCCCCTGCTGATTTTGTACGTTTGCCCACTGACAAAGAAATGATCAGTCTATAATTGTAATGGTAGGTTTCTTTGAACAGTGAGGGACAGAATAACAACCAAAAAATATCCAGAAAAACGCATTTAAAAAATGTTATACATTGATTTGCATTTTAATGAGGGAAATAAGTATTTGACCCCCTCTCAATCAGAAAGATTTTTGGCTCCCAGGTGTCTTTTATACAGGTAACGAGCTGAGATTAGGAGCATACTCTTAAAGTGAGTGCTCCTAATCTCAGTTTACCTGTATAAAAGACACCTGTTCACAGAAGCAATCAATCAATCAGATTCCAAACTCTCCACCATGGCCAAGACCAAAGAGCTCTCCAAGGATGTCAGGGACAAGATTGTAGACCTACACAAGGCTGGAATGGGCTACAAGACCATCGCCAAGCAGCTTGGTGAGAAGGTGACAACAGTTGGTGCGATTATTCGCAAATGGAAGAAACACAAAATAACTGTCAATCTCCCTCGGCATGGGGCTCTATGCAAGATCTCACCTTTTGGAGTTGCAATGATCATGAGAACGGTGAGGAATCAGCCCAGAACTACACAGGAGGATCTTATCAATGATCTCAAGGCAGCTGGGACCATAGTCACCAAGAAAACAATTGGTAACACTACGCCGTGAAGGACTGAAATCTTGCAGCGCCCGCAAGGTCCCTCTGCTCAAGAAAGCACATATACAGGCCCGTCTGAAGTTTGCCAATGAACATCTGAATGATTCAGAAGAGAACTGGGTGAAAGTGTTGTGGTCAGATGAGACCAAAATCGAGCTCTTTGGCATCAACTCAACTCGCCGTGTTTGGAGGAGGAGGAATGCTGCCTATGACCCCAAGAACACCATCCCCACCGTCAAACATGGAGGTGGAAACATTATGCTTTGGGGGTGTTTTTCTGCTAAGGGGACACGACCACTTCACCGCATCAAAGGGACGATGGACGGGGCCATGTACAGTCAAATCTTGGGTGAGAACCTCCTTACCTCAGCCAGTGTCAGGGGCTGATGTGGATGCGGTGTTGGAGTCAGGCGCAGGACACAGAAGCTTAGTTGATCCGACTTAAATAGTCACAGGAGCAAAATACAAATCCAACGGGCCTCAACAAACAGGAGGCGAGCGAATACGCAAAACAGTGCGAAAAGCACTAACAACAAGAAAACAAATAACCTACACCAACGGACAGGCGTACAACACACAACAACTACAAACAAAACCAAAGGAAACGTATAGGTGACATAATCAATACGAGATATGGAACAGGTGCACTAATCAGACAAGACCAAACAAACATAGATAACATCAAACGGTAGCAGCTAGTACTCCGGGGACGACGAACGCCGAAGCCTGCCCGAACAAGGAGGAGGAGCAGTCTCGGCGGAATTCGTGACAGCCAGGGCATTGAAAATGGGTCGTGGATGGGTATTCCAGCATGACAATGACCCAAAACACACGGCCAAGGCAACAAAGGAGTGGTTTAAGAAGAAGCACATTAAGGTCCTGGAGTGGCCTAGCCAGGCTCCAGACCTTAATCCCATAGAAAATATGTGGAGGGAGCTGAAGGTTCGAGTTGCCAAACGTCAGCCTCGAAACCTTAATGACTTGGCGAAAATCTGCAAAGAGGAGTGGAACAAAATCCCTCCTGAGATGTGTGCAAACCTGGTGGCCAACTACAAGAAACATCTGACCTCTGTGATTGCCAACAAGGGTTTTGCCACCAAGTACTAAGTCATGTTTTGCAGAGGGGGTCAAATACTTATTTCCCTCATTAAAATGCAAATCAATTTATAACATTTTTGACATGCGTTTTTTCTGGATTTTTTGTTGTTGTTATTCTGTCTCTCTCACTGTTCAAATAAACCTACCATTAAAATGATAGACTGATCATGTCTTTGTCAGTGGGCAAACGTACAAAATCAGCAGGGGATCAAATACTTTTTTCCCCCTCACTGTATATATGAACCGGATGAATTAATTAAGTTGCTTCAGCCAAGTGACAAACAATCCTCGTTGGTCCTCGTTGGTCCCAGGTGGAGTTTATCTTCTCAGACAAGACAGGAACTCTCACACAAAACATCATGGTCTTCAACAAATGCTCCATCAACGGGAAGAGCTATGGTACGCTACACATTTGCGTTCGGTTCCTGTGTGCTCTGGTTCCTCTCAAAGTGTCTTCCTTCTAGGGAGCTGTTCCTTGGCGCTTCTGCAATTTGATTGTCTGATTATTTGTTCTCTGTTGTGTCTCTTCAGGTGATGTTTATGATGAATTCGGCCATAAAGTAGAAATTACAGAGGTATGAATAAGAAACTGGATAACACAGATAACTACAGTATTGACAGTACAAGTTATACATTGCAGTAATACAATAGTACAGTTAAACTATAAGATAGTAACTGTGTTCTGGTCCTTCTCCCTCCAGAGAACGGCCTGCGTGGATTTCTCCTTCAACCCTTTGAGTGACAGGAAGTTTAGGTTCCATGACAGTAGCCTGGTGGAAGCCGTCAAGACAGAGGAGCCCTCGGTGCAGGAGTTCTTCAGACTGCTGGCTCTGTGTCATACTGTCATGCCTGAGGAGAAGAATGAAGGTAATGTGTAGATAATATACAGGACATGTAATGTATAGAAATTTACAGGACAGGTAATGTATAGATACTGTACAGGAGTTCTTTAGACTGATAACCTATAGATAACCTATAGATAGCCTATAGATAGCCTATAGATAACCTATAGATAACCTATAGATAACCTATAGATAACCTATAGATAACCTATAGATAACCTATAGATATTGTGAATGTCATGTATAGAGACGTTAGGCTAGTTTCCGGTAGTAACATCAGGTACAGGTGTTCTTCAGATTGTTACACTGTCATGTCTTAGGGTGAAGGTAAACTAGGCTTCTGAGTGAAGGTAAACTAGGCTTCTGAGTGAAGGTAAACTAGGCTTCTGAGTGAAGGTAAACTAGGCTTCTGAGTGAAGGTAAACTAGGCTTCTGAGTGAAGGTAAAGTAGACTTCTGAGTGAAGGTAAACTAGGCTTCTGAGTGAAGGTAAACTAGGCTTCTGAGTGAAGGTAAACTAGGCTTCTGAGTGACTTCTGAGGTGAAGGTAAACTAGCTTCTGAGTGAAGGTAAACTAGGCTTCTGAGTGAAGGTAAACTAGGCTTCTGAGTGAAGGTAAAGTAGACTTCTGAGTGAAGGGTAAACTAGGCTTCTGAGTGAAGGTAAAACTAGGCTTCTGAGTGAAGGGTAAACTAGCCTTCTGATGTGAAGGTAAAGTAGACTTCTGAGTGAAGGGTAAACTAGGCTTCTGAGTGAAGGTAAACTAGGCTTCTGAGTGAAGGTAAACTAGGCTCTGAGTGAAGGTAAACTAGGCTTCTGAGTGAGTAAACTAGGCTTCTGATGAAGGTAAACTAGGCTTCTGAGTGAAGGTAAACTAGGCTTCTGAGTGAAGGTAAAGTAGACTTCTGAGTGAAGGTAAACTAGGCTTCTGAGTGAAGGTAAAGTAGGCTTCTGAGTGAAGGTAAAGTAGACTTCTGAGTGAAGGTAGAGTAGACTTCTGAGTGAAGGTAAAGTAGACTTCTGAGTGAAGGTAAAGTAGGCTTCTGAGTGAAGGTAAAGTAGACTTCTGAGTGAAGGTAAAGTAGGCTGCTGAGTGAAGGTAAAGTAGACTTCTGAGTGAAGGTAAAGTAGACTTCTGAGTGAAGGTAAAGTAGACTTCTGAGTGAAGGTAAAGTAGACTTCTGAGTGAAGGTAAAGTAGACTTCTGAGTGAAGGTAAAGTAGACTTCTGAGTGAAGGTAAAGTAGGCTGCTGTACAGTAGTTTGAAGGATATTACTTAGAGACATGAGTCTTGTCTTGTAACCCAGCGGGCGAAGCTGGCTGTAATGACGTCGATTCAACCAGTTTTGTCTGCTGGGAAATCTGTCTAGATAATACTGATAAATTAATGATATGTTGACTCACAATTCCCTGCAACTACTCATGTGGATGGTGCAGCCTAACAAAAAACATATTCTTCTTCTTCTTCTTCTTCTTCTTCTTCTTCTTCTTCTTCTTCTTCTTCTTCTTCTTCTTCTTCTTCTTCTTCTTCCTCCATGTAGGGGATCTGGTGTACCAGGCCCAGTCGCCTGACGAGGGAGCCCTGGTCACGGCCGCACGGAACTTTGGCTTTGTGTTTCGTTCCAGAACCCCGGAGACCGTCACGCTGTACGAGATGGGGACAGCCGTCAACTACCAGCTCCTGGCCATCCTCGACTTCAACAACGTGCGCAAGAGAATGAGTGTCATTGGTTAGGTCTTCACCTTTAAAAAGCAAACATCTTGTTTTGCTGTCACCAAAATGTGTTGTGTAGCAAAGCAAAACATTACGTTTTCGTAAAGTTGGAAGTATAAGACACAATACAGTCGATGATGACTTCATATTCTTGAATATTCTGTAAACACACACATAGCAGTGTTAGTATCAATAATTCAAGACCTAGACTGCATGGTGTTCTGTTCTTGTCCGGCAATCTTGACGTCATTAGGTATTCACTATCAATAAGGTCTTTGATCAATAGGCTTCGATCCACTGACTCATTGGTCACTGAAAATACCTGTACCTTCAAAGTCCCTTCAAGGCAATGACTCAGGTATTTGTCTGCTTCTGTTTCTACTGTCCTCCAGTGAGGAACCCAGCGGGCCACATCAAGCTGTACTGTAAAGGAGCTGACACCATCATCTTCGACAGACTGGACCCGTCCAACCAAGATCTCATGAACACTACCTCAGAGCATCTTTACGTAGGTCTATACACTACATACAGTATGTGTACTATCTCTCTCTCTCTCTCTCTCTCTCTCTCTCTCTCTCTCTCTCTCTCTCTCTCTCTCTTTCTCATCATATATCAATAAAAGTATATCTGACATTTGAATAACGCTCTTTGACATGTCCCCTAAATATATAAAAGCTTTGTATCCGAGGTTGATGGTTTGAGAGTGAGAGTGACCTTCAGTGTTGAAAGCAGTAATTTATTCTCTATTGTGGTGTGTGAGCTGTTGAGAGAGCTCTTGACACAGAATAGAAGATACAAAAATAGTCTCTCAACACGTTGCCTTCTGTTTTTAGATACCGTCTGCCTCACAGTCACTCACAACAACAGCCTCACAGTCACTCACAACAGTCAGCCTCACAGCCACTCACAACAAGCAGCCTCACAGTCACTCACAACAAGCAGCCTCACAGTCACTCACAACAAGCAGCCTCACAGTCACTCACAACAAGCAGCCTCACAGTCACTCACAACAAGCAGCCTCACAGTCACTCACAACAAGTAGCCTCACAGAACCTCACAACAAGCAGCCTCACAGTCACTCACAACAAGCAGCCTCACAGTCACTCACAAAAAGCAGCCTCACAGTCACTCACAAAAAGCCCACGCAACATATTGCATGAAGCATCAACATGAGAGATAATAATATCATATAATATACTGTATATAAATATACACTACCAGTCAAAGGTTTGGACACACCAACTCATTCAAGGGTTTTTCTTAATTTTTACTATTTTCTACATTGTAGAATAATAGTGAAGACATCAACACTATGAAATAACACATATGGAATCATGTAGTAACCAAAAAAGTGTTAAACAAATCAAAATATATGTTACATTTGCTTTGCGCACTCTTGGCATTCTCTCAACCAGCTTCATGAGATTGTCACCTGGAATCCATTTCAATTAACAGGTGTGCCTTCTTAAAAGTTTTTTTGTGGAATTTCTTTCCTTCTTAATGCGTTTGAGCCAATCAGTTGTGTTGTGACAAGAAGATAGCCATATTTGGTAAAATACCAAGTCCATATTATGGCAAGAACAGCTCAAATAAGCAAAGTGAAACGACAGTCCATCATTATTTTATGACATGAAGGTCAGTCAATACGGACAATTTCAAGAACTTTAAAAGTTTCTTCAAGTGCAGTCGCAAAAACCATCAAGCGCTATGATGAAACTGGCTCTCATGAGGACCGCCACAGGAATGGAAGACCCAGAGTTACCTCTGCTGCAGAGGACAAGTTCAGTGGTGCAGTGGTCTAAGGCACTGCATCGCAGTGCTAGCTGTGCCATGGGGCGGCGCACAATTGGCCCAGCGTCGTCCAGGGTAGGGGAGGGAATGGCCGGCAGGGTTGTGGGTTCGATTCCAGTATGAAAAAATAAAAATAAAATAATGTAAGTCGCTCTGGATAAGAGCGTCTGCTAAATGACTAAAATGTAAAATGTTACCAGCCTCAGAAATTGCAGCCCAAATAAATGCTTCACAGAGTTCAAGTAACAGACACATCTCAACATCAACTGTTCAGAGTAGACTGTGTGAATCAGGCCTTCATAGTCGAATTGCTGCAAAGATACCACTACTAAAGGACACCAAACAAGAAGAAGAGACTTGCTTCGTCCAAGAAACACGAGCAATGGACATTAGACCGGTGGAAATGTGTCCTTTGGTCTGGAGACCAAATTTGAGATTTTTGGTTCCAACTGCCGTGTCTTTGTGAGACGCGGTGTGGGTGAACGGATGATCTCCGCATGTATATTTCCCACCGTAAAGCATGGAGGAGGAGGTGTTATGGTGTGGGGGTGCTTTGCTGGTGCCACTGTGATTTATTTAGAATTCAAGGCACACTTAACCAGCATGGCTACAACAGCATTCTGCAGCGATACGCCATCCCATCTGGTTTGGGCTTAGTGGGACTATCATTTGTTTTTCTTCTAGTGGTATTTTACCCCCTTTTTTCTCCCCTATTTCATGGTATCCAATTGGTAGTAGTTACAGTCCCTGTCCCATCGCTGCAACCCCCGTACGGACACGGGAGAGGTGAAGGTGAGAGTCGTGCGTCCTCCGAAACACAACCAACCGAGCCGCACTGCTTCTTGACACAGTGCCCGCTTAACCCGGAAGCCAGCCGCACCAATGTGTCGGAGGAAACATCGTACACCTGGCGACCGAGTCAGAGTGCACTGCGCCCGGCCCGCCACAGGGGTCACTATAGCACGATGGGACAAGGACATCCCTGCCGGCCAAACCCTCCCCTACCCTGGACAACGCTGGGCCAGTTGTGCGCCGCCCCATGGGTCTCCCGGTCGTGGCCAGCTATCGTCGAACCAGGATCTCTAGTGGCACAGCTAGCACTGTGATGCAGTGCCTTAGACCACTGCGCCACTCGGGAGGCCTATCATTTGTTTTTCAACAGGACAATGACCCAACACACCTCCAGGCTGTGGAAGGGCTATTTTACCAAGAAGGAGAGTGATGGAGTGCTGCATCAGATGACCTGGCCTCCACAATCCCCCGACCTCCACCCAATGGTGATGGTCTGGGATGAGTTGGACTGCAGAGTGAAGGAAAAGCAGCCAACAAGTGCTCAGCATATGTGGGAATTCCTTCAAGACAGTTGGAAAAGCATTCCAGGTGAAGCTGGTTGAGAGAATGCAAAGCTGTCATCAAGGCAAAGGGTGGCTATTTGAATAATCTTTGTTGAAGATTTGTTTAACACTTTTTTGGTTACTACATGATTCCATATGTGTTATTTCATCGTTTTGATGTCTTCATTATTATTCTACAATGTAGAAAATAGTAAAAATAAAGAAAAACCCTGGAATGAGTAGGTGTGTCCAAACTTTTGACTGGTACTGTATATATTCATATATTAATCATAATAATAATACTAATACTAATAATACTATTATAATATAATATACTAATATAACTATTTTATATAGCTAATACTAGAACATCTGGTTTACTGAATGATGAGGACATTTCTCTGATCAGATTCAACAACCTAGCAGCATACAAAACATACATAACTAAATGCATTTAAAAATAGTCCTAACCAATATGCTTAATCTCAATACAAAATCCTTGAATGATTGTATAATCTGAATGATGTTTGTTGCAGGAGTTTGCTGGTGAAGGCTTGCGAACACTAGCCCTGGCATACAAAGACCTAGATGAGAATGTATTAGAGGAATGGATGAAGAGGCTTCTGTATGCCAGCACTGTGATAGAGAACAGAGAGGAGGGACTGGCTGATCTCTACGAGGAGATAGAGACAGGCCTGATGGTAAGAGACTGACTTATAGACTGACATATAGACTGATATATAGACTGACCTATAGACTGACATATAGACTGACATATAGACTGACAAATAGATTGACCTAAAGACTGACCTATAGACTGACCTATAGACTGATATATAGACTGACCTATAGACTGATATATAGACTGACCTATAGACTGACCTATAGACTGACATATAGACTGATATATAGACTGACCTATAGACTGATATATAGACTGATATATAGACTGACCTATAGACTGACATATAGACTGACCTATAGACTGACATATAGACTGATATATAGACTGATATATAGACTGACCTATAGACTGATATATAGACTGACCTATAGACTGATATATAGACTGATATATAGACTGACCTATAGACTGATATATAGACTGACCTATAGACTGATATATAGACTGACCTATAGACTGACATATAGACTGATATATAGACTGACATATAGACTGACCTATAGACTGACATATAGACTGATATATAGACTGACCTATAGACTGACATATAGACTGATATATAGACTGACATATAGACTGACCTATAGACTGATATATAGACTGACCTATAGACTGACATATAGACTGATATATAGACTGACATATAGACTGACCTATAGACTGATATATAGACTGACCTATAGACTGACATATAGACTGATATATAGACTGACCTATAGACTGACCTATAGACTGACCTATAGACTGACCTATAGACTGACCTATAGACTGATATATAGACTGACCTATAGACTGATATATAGACTGACCTATAGACTGACCTATAGACTGACCTATAGACTGACATATAGACTGATATATAGACTGACCTATAGACTGACCTATAGACTGACCTATAGACTGACATATAGACTGACCTATAGACTGACATATAGACTGACCTATAGACTGATATATAGACTGACATATAGACTGACCTAAAGACTTATATATAGACTGACCTATAGACTTATATATAGACTGACCTATAAAGAACAGAGAGGAAGGACTGCCTACTCTCTACATGGTGATAAAGGCTTGATGTAAAACTGACCAGAGGCAACAGTATCCTAGACGCCATCTCCTGCCGTTATGCCCTTGATCAAGGCACTCAACCCTTAAACTGCTCCAGGGACACTGCACCATGGCTGACCCTGTCTTCAAACCGCTGGGTTTGTGGGTGTGTTCTCAGGGGTTCCACTGGTTGTTTGTTTTCCCCCTCTTAAGCTCCTAGGGGCCACAGCAGTAGAAGACAAACTGCAGGAGGGGGTTCCTGAAACCATCGCCTGTTTGACCCTGGCCAACATCAAGATCTGGGTTCTCACCGGGGATAAGTTAGGTAAGCGCCAATGAAGGGATGGACCGATGTTTTGAACCATCAAAGTTTACTCCCTCTACAAAATACTTTACTTTACTTTAGAGTACTACTGAGATAGATTTACTGCATTGTTGGGAGAGAGCTTGCAAGAAAGGTCATTTCACAGTAATATATTTTTTATTCAGTGTCCAATGATACATTTGACAATACTGTACATGAAAACTGGAGGTAACGTGACATGTTCTGCGGTTGTAGAGACGGCGATGAACATCGGCTACTCCTGCAACATGCTGAGAGACGACATGAGCGAAGTGTTCATAATATCAGGACACACCTCCTCGGAGGTGCTGCAGCAACTCAGGTAAGGCCTCTGGCCAATGAAACATACTCTCTCAGGCCTCTGGCCAATGAAACATACTCTCTCAGGCCTCTGGCCAATGAAACATACTCTCTCAGGCCTCTGGCCAATGAAACATACTCTCTCAGGCCTCTGGCCAATGAAACATACTCTCTCAGGCCTCTGGCCAATGAAACATACTCTCTCAGGCCTCTGGCCAATGAAACATACTCTCTCAGGCCTCTGGCCAATGAAACATACTCTCTCAGGCCTCTGGCCAATGAAACATACTCTCTCAGGCCTCTGGCCAATGAAACATACTCTCTCAGGCCTCTGGCCAATGAAACATACTCTCTCAGTCACGATTACACCTGCAGGTAATCAATCATCTGCATCTGCATTGCAGGCTCTCTGGGGGGTTTTAGGCTGGTTTCTGTAAAAGCACTTTGTGACAACTGCTGATCGTAAAAAAAAGGGCTTTTATAAAAAAAAAAAAATACATTTGATTGATCGACCTGCAGGTAAAAAGGCAAACCTGCTCCCCCCCAGCAGCTTTTTTGAGAGTCAAAGAATGAGAGTTAGTTAGTGAGCGCAGGCTGGCTGACTGGGTCACGTGACAAGGTCCCCAGGGCATTCTGTTTCCTCCTTTAGTTTAGCTGGACTAAAGAACGTGTTATTCCCCCAACAGCTGATCCCAGAGGGAAGCTATCACCATGCCAGCCAGCCCCATTGGCCCCATCGGTCGTTCTCTATCTGAGTGAGAGGGGTAGAGAGACAGAGTAGAATAGAGAGAACCATCCATTTTCTTTTCAGATCGTGAACATTCATTGTAGCGTTGTTCTATTTCTATGGTTAAACATTAAATTGACACGTGAGTCGTTTAGCCAGACGGCTCTTATCCAGAGTGACTACAGTCAGTGCATTCATCGCAGGGTAGCTGAGAGACAGCCGCATCTCCTGAGTGGCGCAGTGGTCTAAGGCGCCGCATCGCAGTGCTAACTGTGCCACTAGAGATCCTGGTTCGAATCCAGGCTCTGTCGCAGCCGGCCGCGACCGGGAGACTCATGCGCGGCGCACAATTGGCCCAGCGTCGTCCAGGGTAGGGGAGGGAATTTTTTATTTCACCTTTATTTAACCAGGTAAGCCAGTTGAGAACAGGTTCTCATTTACGACTGCGACCTGGCCGGCAGGGATGTAGCTCAGTTGATAGAGCATGGCGTTTGCAACGCCAGGGTTGTGGGTTCGATTGCCACGGGGGGCCAGTATAAAAAAATAAAATATATATGTATTCACTAACTGTAAGTCGCTCTGGATAAGAGCGTCTGCTAAATGACTAAAATTTAAATCTCTCATCTGTTTATGCCCCCCTCCCCTCCTTCTTTAGGAGTGCTAAGGAGCACATCCTGGGCCTGAGCAGAGTTAGCAGTACTGCAGATGTGGAGAAGACAGACGAGTTCTCAGATGATTCTGTGTTTGAAGAAACCATCATAGCGGAATATGCCTTAATCATCAATGGACACAGTCTGGTAAGGAGGCTCCCCTCCCCCCATGCTGTTGCTACCCTTTGTTACTCTACATACAGTGACATGGTTTCCAAACCAGATGCCTGGACTATATTTTCATCCCTGTGGGTTGTGTATGGGTGTGAGTCTATGCGATATGCTCAGGATAATGTTTCTTTACCTGGTGTTGAATGTGGGTTGTGTGTATGGGTGTGAGTCTATGCGATATGCTCAGGATAATGTTTCTTTTACCTTGGTGTTGAATGTGGGTTGTGTGTATGGGTGTGAGTCTGTGCGATATGCTCAGGATAATGTTTCTTTACCTGGTGTTGAATGTGGGTTGTGTGTATGGGTGTGAGTCTGTGCGATATGCTCAGGATAATGTTTCTTTACCTGGTGTTGAATGTGGGTTGTGTGTATGGGTGTGAGTCTATGCGATATGCTCAGGATAATGTTTCTTTACCTGGTGTTGAATGTGGGTTGTGTGTATGGGTGTGAGTCTATGCGATATGCTCAGGATAATGTTTCTTTACCTGGTGTTGAATGTGGGTTGTGTGTATGGGTGTGTGTCTATCTGGTATGGACCGTATAATATCTCTGCTCCTGTGGCGTCTGCTGAGTCTGCTTAGTTTCTAATGAGCAAGACTGCTGGTGATTAGGGAGTCCCCCATCTCTGCGAGAGAGGCTGTCGTTAAGACATCTGGCAGACAGACACACTGCCCTGAGTGGTTGGTTGCCCAGGCTTCTCATCAGCAAACAGAGCCTCACATCATTACAGCATCTAGTCCAAGAGCTGTGTCTCAGATTCAAATTCGTAAACGCTTTATTGTCCCAATACTGGGCAATTGATTTGCAACTGGCTTCTAGACTTCTCATCAGCAGACAGAGACTCACTGCTCTGCTCCTAGTCCTGACCTGTCTCACACTCTGTACTCGGTACACACGCTGAGCCCACACTGTTCTGCTACGTCCTGGCTCTGCTCTGCAGGAGGGCTGGGATGTTAACACCACAGAACTGGTTAACACTGCAGGGTGGTGATAATGGTTGTTTAACAGGCCTAATGTGTCTGTGTCTCTGGGGGTGTTGTGGAGAAAGGCACAAGATCATTTCCATTCTAACCAAATGGACAATAAAATGTCTATCCCCCCTCCCACCCCGTCAAGATTGAAGAAAAAAAGAAGAGTCAGGAAGAGCAGGAAAACTCAAGGAAGGATCCATATCCCTCTGCACTTCCTCCATACTCCCTCCTCTATATTCCCTCCCTCACCTCCCCTCCTCCTCCCCCCTCCCCTCCCCTCCCCTCTCCTATTAATCCCCCCTGTAGGCCCATGCCCTGGAGCCTGACCTGGAGCAGGTCCTTCTGGAGACAGCCTGTCTGTGTAAGACAGTGATCTGCTGTAGGGTGACTCCCATGCAGAAGGCCCAGGTGGTGGAGCTGGTCAAGACAAACAAGATGGCCGTGACTCTGGCCATAGGAGACGGGGCCAACGACGTCAGCATGATCAAGAGTAATACACAGGTTACATTATATTCAGCTCACGGTGTTTCTCAGTCAGCAGCAGATATGAGCAGCAATGAACGGGGTTCACAGGATGACAGGAAGGACACAAGATCAGTTGAAAAAACAAAGCAGGCCCTCTATCATGTAGGAACTATCTTCCTTTATGTGCAATCGTGTGTCTAAATACAAAATCTGGTGTGAATATGATGTATGTTTCATGAGGAGAAGAGGATTTTGAGCATTAGCGTTACATACAGTGGCTTGCGAAAGTATTCACCCCCCTTGGCATTTTTCCTATTTTGTTGCCTTACAACCTGGAATTAAAATTGATTTTTGGGGGGTTTGTATCATTTGATTTACACAACATGCCTACCACTTTGAAGATGCAAAATATATTTTTTGTGAAACAAACAAGAAATAAGACAAAAAAACAGAAAACTTGAGCGTGCATAACTATTCACAGTCAATACTTTGTAGAGCCACCTTTTGCAGTAATTACACCTGCAAATCTCTTGGGGTATGTCTCTATAAGCTTGGCACATCTAGCCACTGGGATTTTTGCCCATTCTTCAAGGCAAAACTGCTCCAGCTCCTTCAAGTTGGATGGGTTCCGCTGGTGTACAGCAATCTTTAAGTCATACCACAGATTCTCAATTGGATTGAGGTCTGGGCTTTGACTAGGCCATTCCAAGACATTTAAATGTTTCCCCTTAAACCACTTGAGTGTTGGTTTAACAGTATGCTTAGGGTCATTGTCCTGCTGGAAGGTGAACCTCCGTCCCAGTCTCAAATCTCTGGAAGACTGAAACAGGTTTCCCTCAAGAATTTCCCTGTATTTAGCACCATCCATCATTCCTTCAATTCTGACCAGTTTCCCAGTCCCTGCCGATGAAAAACATCCCCGGGGTGATGAGAGGTGTTGGGTTTGCGCCAGACATAGCGTTTTCCTTGATGGCCAAAAAGCTCCATTTTAGTCTCATCTGACCAGAGTACCTTCTTCCATATGTTTGGGGAGTCTCCCACATGGCTTTTGGCGAACACCAAACGTGTTGGCTTATTTTTTTCTTTAAGCAATGGCTTTTTTCTGGCCACTCTTCCGTAAAGCCCAGCTCTGTGGAGTGTACGGCTTAAAGTGGTCCTATGGACAGATACTCCAATCTCCGCTGTGGAGCTTTGCAGCTCCTTCAGGGTTTTCTTTGGTCTCTTTGTTGCCTCTCTGATTAATGCCCTCCTTGCTTGGTCCGTGAGTTTTGGTTGGCAGGTTTGTTGTGGTGCCATATTCTTTCCATTGTTTAATAATGGATTTAATGGTGCTCCGTGTGATGTTCAAAGTTTCGGATATTTTTTTATAACCCAATCCTGATCTGTACTTCTCCACAACCTTGTCCCTGACCTGTTTGGAGAGCTCCTTGGTCTTCATGGTGCCGCTTGCTTGGTGGTGCCCTTTGCTTAGTGGTGTTGCAGACTCTGGGGCCTTTCAGAACAGGTGTATATATACTGAGATCATGTGACAGATCATGTGACACTTAGATTGCACACATGTGTACTTTATTTAACTAATTATGTGACTTCTGAAGGTAATTGGTTGCACCAGATCTTATTTAGGGGCTTCATAGCAATTCAGTTGAAGTCAGAAGCTTCTGATAGGCTAATTGACATCATTTGAGTCAATCGGAGGTGTACCTGTGGATGTATTTCAAGGCCTACCTTCAAACTCAGTGCCTCTTTGCTTGACATAGAAATCAAAAGCTATTTCCATGTGTAAATGTTATGGGATTTGCTCCATTGGTTTTGTTGGTAGGCCTAGATTATGCTCAAATAGCCACAATAGTCTATTGGCTACTGTCTAAAACTGTAAGGGTACTGCCTCAGTGTTCACTGTAAACGCGTGCCAGAAGTTGCACAAAATTGTGCTCTCTTTCTCTCTCGGTTTCAATTCAATTCAAGGGGCTTTATTGACATGGGAAACATATGTTTACATTGCCAAAGCAAGTGAAATGGATAAACAAAAGTGAAATAAACAATAACAAGTCAATAGTAAACATTACACTCACAAAAGTTCCAAAATAATAGAGACATTTCATATATCATATTATGTCTATATACAGTTTGTAACTATGTGCAAATAGTTAAAATACAAAATGGAAAATAAATAAACATAAATATGGGTTGTATTTACAATGGTGTTTGTTCTTCACTGGTTGCCCTTTTCTTGTGGCAACAGGTCACAAATCTTGCTGCTGTGATGGCACACTGTGGTATTTCAGACAATAGATATGGGAGTTTATCAAAATTGGGTTTGTTTTCAAATTCTTTGTGGATATGTGTAATCTGAGGGAAATATGTGTCTCTAATATGGCAGGAGGTTAGGAAGTGAAGCTCAGTTTCCACCTCATTCTGTGGGCAGTGTGCACATAGCCTGTCTTCTCTTGAGAGCCAGGTCTGCCTACGGCGGCCTTTCTCACTAGCAAGGCTATGCTCACTGAGTTTGTTATGGAAGGTTTGGGAATCACTTCCTTTTAGGTGGTTGTAGAATTTAACGGCTCTTTTCTGGATTTTGATCATTAGCGGGTATCAGCCTAATTCTGCTCTGCATGCATTATTTGGTGTTTTACGTTGTACACTGAGGATATTTTTGCAGAATTCTGCATGCAGAGTCTCAATATGGTGTTTGTCCCATTTTGTGAATTATTGGTTGGTGAGCTGACCCCAAACCTCACAACCATGAAGGGCAATGGGTTCTATAACTGATTCAAGTATTTTTTGCCAGATCCTAATTGGTATGTTGAATTTTATGTTCCTTTTGACGGCATAGAAGGCCCTTCTTGCCTTGTCACTCAGAGCGTTCACCAGCTTTGTGGAAGTTACCTGTGGCGCTGATGTTTAGGCCGAGGTATGTATAGTTTTTTGTGTGCTCTAGGGCAACGGTGTCTAGATGGAATTTATATTTGTGGTCCTGGCAACTGGACCTTTTTTGGAACACCATTATTTTTGTCTTACTGAGATTTACTGTCAGGGCCCAGGTCTGACAGAATCTGTGCAGAAGATCTAGGTGCTGCTGTAGGCCATCCTTGGTTGGGGACAGAAGCACCAGATCATCAGCAAACAGTAGACATTTGACTTCAGATTCTAGTAGGGTGAGGCCGGGTGCTGCAGACTGTTCTAGTGCCCTCGCCAATTTGTTGATATATATGTTGAAGAGGGTGGGGCTTAAGCTGCATCCCTGTCTCACCCCACGGCCCTATGGAAAGAAATGTGTGTGTCTTTTGCCAATTTTAACCACACACTTGTTGTTTGTTTACATGGATTTTACAATGTTGTATGTTTTTCCCCCAACACCACTTTCCATCAATTTGTATAGCAGACCCTCATGCCAAATTGAGTCAAAAGCTTTTTTGAAATCAACAAAGCATGAGAAGACTTTGCCTTTGTTTTGGTTTGTTTGTTTTGTCAATTAGGGTGTGCAGGGTGAATACGTGGTCTGTCGTACGATAATTTGGTAAAAAGCCAATTTGACATTTGCTCAGTATATTGTTTTCCTGAGGAAATGTACGAGTCTGCTGTTAATGATAATGCAGAGGATTTTCCCAAGGTTGCTGTTGACACATATCCCACGGTAGTTATTGGGGTGAAATTTGTCTCCACTTTTGTGGATTGGGGTGATCAGTCCTTGGTTTCAAATATTGGGGAAGATGCCAGAGCTAAGGATGATGTTAAAGAGTTTAAGAATTGGAATTTGTCGTCTGTATATTTTATCATTTCATTGAGGATTCTCTCTCTCTCTGTCTCTCTCTCTCTCTCTCTGTCTCTCTCTCTCTCTCTCTCTGTCTCTCTCTCTCTCTCTCCAGCTGCTCATATAGGTGTAGGTATATCAGGTCAGGAGGGCATGCAGGCTGTGCTAGCCTCCGACTACTCCTTCGCCCAGTTCCGCTATCTGCAGCGTCTCCTGCTGGTCCATGGCCGCTGGTCCTATTTCCGCATGTGCAACTTCCTGTTCTACTTCTTCTACAAGAACTTTGCCTTCACCGTGGTGCACTTCTGGTTCGGCTTCTTCTGTGGTTTCTCAGCTCAGGTAAATAAAAGTGACATAAAAAAAAGTGTGTTTTTATTTGGGGAAAACGTAGGAACTAAATGTACTTACGGTAGTTGTCTTTCTCCAATGTCTCTTGAAAATAAAAAAACAATAATCATATACAAATGCTATTGCATTGGGGCAAAGAGCAATACAACATTATAGTATATCTATGTTTTATAATTGTAAACATTTTGTGTGCATTTTTATCTTCACTTTATTCCATCTTCTCTTCTTAGACGGTTTATGACCAGTGGTTTATCACTCTCTTCAATATAGTCTACACATCCCTGCCAGTTCTGGCCATGGGGCTTTTTGATCAGGTAAGAACTGGTGTAAACTACATACAAGAACTCCGTGTATCTTTTCATCAGTTTCCAATGGCAACCCACCAAGCTTTTATTTTCTTTCACTTTCCTTTTCTTTCTTTCTTTCTTTCTTTCATTTTTCTTTTCAAGATTCTGTCCAGTCATACAGGTGAATATGTCATGTTTTTAGATCCCCTTTTTGCTCTGCTCTCCTCCTTAGGGACTCTATAAACGTCCAACTACCTCTACCTCTACCCCACCTAAACCTTAATAACTAACCTTATCCTCACCCAACTCTAACCCATTAGTCAATATAATTTAGAGCCGGTAAACTGACCTGGACACAGGTTAAGCCTAGTTCTGAACTAAAAAGCCTACCCAATGGAGAAAGTCCATTAAAGTGCTAATTAGTCCAGGACTTAGGCTAAATCTGTATCCGGGAAACCAGACAATGTAGTCCAGCGTACGTACACACACACACACACACACACACACATACCTGTCATCACAAAAACTATTTTCTTCCCCAGGATGTGAACGAAGCCAACAGCCACCGCTTCCCCAGCCTGTACCGTCCAGGGCAGCTCAACCTCCTGTTCAATAAGAGACAGTTCTTCCTGTGTACACTGCAGGGGATGGGGACCTCCTTCCTCCTCTTCTTCATCCCCTATGGAGCCTTCTGCCTCGCCGTCAGTGACGACGGATCACACATCTCAGACCAGCAGGCTTTCGCCGTCACCATAGCAACATCCTTGGTCATAGTGGTGAGCATTCAGGTAAGAGGCATAGTCAGATGGGTTATTCATCACAAAACCCACTGATATTGCCAACTACTTTAATGATTTTTTGATTGGCAAGATTAGCAAACTTAGGCTTGACATGCCAGCAACAAATGCTGACACTATACATCCAAGAATATCTGACCAAATTATGAAAGACAAGCATTGTAATTTTGAATTCCGTAAAGTAAGTGTGGAAGAGGTGAAAAAAGTATTGTTGTCTATCAACAATGACAAGCCACCGGGGTCTGACAAGATTACTGAGGATAATAGCGGACGATATTGCCACTCCTATTTGCCATATCTTCAATTTAAGCCTACTAGAAAGTGTGGGACCTCAGGCCTAGAGGGAAGCAAAAGTTATTCCCCTACCTAAGAATAGTAAAGCCCCCTTTACTGGCTCAAATAGCCGACCAATCAGCCTGTTACCAACCCTTAGTAAACTTTAGGAAAAAATTGTGTTTGACCAGATACAATGCTATTTTACAGTAAACAAATTGACAACAGACTTTCAGCACGCTTATAGGGAAGGACATTCAACAAGCACAGCACTTACACAAATTACTGATGATTGGCTGAGAGAAATGTATGATAAAAAGATTGTGGGGGCTGTTTTATTAGACTTTAGTGCAGCTTTTGACATTATCGACCATAGTCTGCTGCTGGAAAAACGTATGTGTCATGGCTTTACACCTCCTGCTATATTGTGGATAAAGAGTTACCTGTCTAACAGAACACAGAGGATGTTCTTTAATGGAAGCCTATCCAACATAATCCAGGTAGAATCAGGAATTCCCCAGGGCAGCTGTCTAGGCCCCTTACTTTTTTCAATCTTTACTAACGACATGCCACTGGCTTTGAGTAAAGCCAGTGTGTTTATGTATGCGGATGACTCAACACTATACACGTCAGCTACTACAGCGACTGAAATGACTGCAACACTTAACAAAGAGCTGCAGTTAGTTTCTGAATGGGTGGAATAAGTTAGTCCTAAATATTTCAAAAACTAAAAGCATTGTATTTAGGACAAATCATTCACTAAACCCTAAACCTCAACTAAATCTTGTAATGAATAATGTGGAAATTGAGCAAGTTGAGGAGACTAAACTGCTTGGATTGTAAACTGTCATGGTCAAAACATATTGATACAACAGTAGCTAGGATGGGGAGAAGTCTGTCTATAATAAAGCGCTGCTCTGCCTTCTTAACAGCACTATCAACAAGGCAGGTTCTACAGGCCCTAGTTTTGTCGCACCTGGACTACTGTTCAGTCGTGTGGTCAGGTGCCACAAAGAGGGACTTAGGAAAATTGCAATTGGCTCAGAACAGGGCAGCACAGCTCGTCCTTGGATGTACACAGAGAGCTAACATTAATAATATGCATGTCAATCTCTCTTGGCTCAAAGTGGAGGAGAGATTGACTTCATCACTACTTGTATTTGTGAGAGGTATTGACATGTTGAATGCACCGAGCTGTCTGTTTGAACTACTGGCAAACAGCTCGGACACCCATGCATACCCCACAAGACTTTCCACCAGAAGTCTCTTCACAGTCCCCAAGTCAAGAATATACTATGGGAGGAGCACAGTACTACGTAGAGCCATGACTGCATGGAACTCTATTCCACATCAAGTAACTCATGCCAGCAGTAAAATTAGATAAAAAAAACAGATAAAAAGACACCTTTTGGAACAGCGGGGACTGTGAAGCAACACAAACATGGACACATCCATACAAACACACGACAACATACGCACTATACACACATACACACATGGATGTTGTGTTATAGATATGTGGTAGTAGAGTAGAGGCCTGAGGGCACACACTTTATATGTTGTGAAATCTGTTATGAATGTATTGTAATGCCTTTTGGTTGCTACGGCAATGATATAAACGATTAAATCAGAAGAAAAATAAGAAAATGCCTCCAGGTGCTGTTAGTGGGAGATGACCCAGGTGAATGGTTATTCTCAAAACACTGCATTATTAACTAACTAAAATCTAACTTGCTGATATACAAGATATGAACATGTGACCGTTTACTGACATGCAGTACGTGATATGAACATGCAGTTGTTTTGTTCGGTTACAGATTGGACTGGACACCTCCTATTGGACAGCAGTGAACCACGTCTTTGTGTGGGGTAGCCTGGCTGTCTACTTTGCCATTCTATTCGCAATGCACAGTGACGGCCTCTTCAGCATATTCCCCAGCCACTTCCCTTTCATTGGTGAGTCAATCAATCAATCACATGTATTTACAAAGCACTTTTTTTTTTTTTTTTACATCAGTGCTTTACAGTAACCTAGTGTAATTCAGTTTTAAATCTTGAGTACAATAATGATACATGAAACTGTACAAGAGCATTTTTTTTGAGTCCGAGGGTTGTGTTTTGTTGTGGTTTTCCCAGGCACAGGCCGTAACTGCCTGACTCAGAAGAGTGTGTGGCTGGTCATAATGCTGACCACTGTGGCGTGTGTCATGCCCGGGTTGGCAGTTCGCTTTCTGAAGACAGACCTTTACCCCACTCTGACAGACAAGGTAAAGGGAACTTGATTGACACACACTGTAGTGTACACCACTAGGGACAGGGGGAAGCATCACACTAAACATGCCAATGAAAGAGAAGAAATCAAAATCACTGAAGTAGTTCTTCTTCTTCTTCTTGATTTCTATGAGGTATACAGTGCCTTCAGAAAGTATTCATACCCCTTGACTTATTCCACATTTTGTTGTGTTACAGCCTGAATTCAAAATGGATTAAATATATGTTTTTCTCACCCATCTACACACAATACCCCATAATGACAAAGTAAACACATTTTTTTTAAACGTTTTTTGCTATTTTATTGAAAATGAAACACAGAAATATCACATTTACATAAGTATTTACACCCCTGAGAAAATACATGTTAGAATCACCTTTGGCTGCAGTTACACCTGCAAGTCTTTCTGGGTAAGTCTCTAAGAGCTTTGCACACCTGGATTGTACAATATTTTCCCATTATTATTTTCAAAATTCTTCAAGTTTTGTAAAATTGGTTGTTGATCATTGCTAGACAACCATTTTCAAGTCTTGACATTAGATTTTCAAGCAGATTTAAGTCAAAACTGTAACTAGGACTCTCAGGAACAGTCAATGTTGTCTTTGGAAGCAACTCCAGTGTATATTTGTCCTTGTGTTTTAGGTTATTGTCCTGCTGAAAGGTGAATTTGTCTCCCAGTGTCTTTTGGAAAGCAGACTAAAACTATTTTTACTCTAGGATTTTGCCTGTTACGTTTCTTTTTATCCTAAATAACTCCCTAGTACTTGCCAATGACAATCATACTCATAACACCATGCAGCCACCCCTATGCTTGAAAATATGAAGTGTGGTACTCAGTGATGTGTTGGATTTGCCCCAAACATAACGTTTTGTATTCAGGACAAAAAGTTCATTTCTTTGCCACATTTTTTGCAGTATTACTCCAATATTTAGTGCCTTATTGCAAACAGGATGCATGTTTTGGGATAGTTTTATTCTGTACATGCTTCCTTCTTTTCACTCTGTCAATTAGGTTAGTATTGTGGAGTAACTACAATGTTGTTGATCCATCCTCAGTTTTCTCCTATCACAGCCATTCAACTCTAACAGTTTTAAGGTCACCATTGGCCTCATGATGAAATCCCTGAGGGGTTTCCTTCCTCTCCGACAACTGAGTTAGGAAGGACGCCTGTATCTTTGTAGTGATTGGGAATATTGATACACCATCCAAAGTGTAATTAATAACTTCACCATGCTCAAATGGATATTCAATGTATTTATTTTTTTACCCATCTACCAATAGGTGCCCTTCTTTATGAGGCATTGGAAAACCTCCCTGGTCTTTGTGGTTGAATCTGTGGTTGAAATGTGCTGCTCTACTGAAGGTTAATTTTATGTGTGGGGTACAGAGACGAGGTAGTCATTCAAAAATCATGTTAAACACTATAATTGCACACAGAGTGAGTCCATGCAACGTATTATGTGACTTGTTAAGCACATTTTTACTCCTGGACTTATTTAGGCTGGCCATAACAAAGGGGTTGAATACTTATTGACTCAAGACATTTCAGCTTTTCCTTTCTAATAAAAAAAATAATTTTTTTTCTTTTAAGAAATCCACTTTGACATTATGGGGTATTGAGTGACACAAAATCTAAATGGAATCGATTTTAAATTCAGGCTGTAACACAACAAAATGTGGAAAAAGTCAAGGAGTGTGAATACTTTCTACTTCCTGAAGGCACTGTATGTCCTCTCTATCATATAGTCAGCAGACAAAGCCATTTGACACTGAGTATGTTTACATGCACAGGAATAACTCGATATAAAATTGATTATGACAGTAGGCAGGTTATACAATAGTCATGCAAACACCTTACTCTGCTTATCTTAATTGTTGTAAAGTCAAAATCAAAGTAAGCATATGAGGATTAAAACATCTGGTTGTCTGAGCAATCTTTCAAATTATTAGACATGTAAACAGCTTAATCGGCGTTCCAGAGGTGTATTTGATCTGCTCATGTGGCAGCACCAGCAGCACAAGCCTCCCTCTTATGCGCGAGTGAAGTGAGTTCAGAAAAACTGAAAGTACGCATCTTAGAAATAGTTTTCACATACAAATGTTAAATGTCCGAACTCAGAATCAAATAGGCTTCGCAAAAATAACATGGTCGCTGTGGTAGAACGTATATTTTTTGATTGGTGATTTTCTGCATTTATCAGAGTCCCATCGGGTAGCCTGATTTCAGATGTGTCCATGTAAACCAGATTATTAGGGAAATCGTTCTTCTTGCAAAGCATGTAAACGTTTTAGTCAAACTATTACATTAATCTGACTATCCACAATAACCGTACTCACTGTTGTTGTCCTCCTTCCCCAGGTGCGGTGCCTGCAGCAGGCCAGCAGAAAGCTGCGTCCCCAGGAGCAGAACCTGAGACGCGTTCGGAGGACCAGCTCTCGACGCTCGGCCTATGCCTTCTCCCACCAACAGGGCTATGGAGAGCTCATAACCTCAGGGAAGAACATGAAGGTCTGTCAAATAAACTAATACAAAATAAAAGTATGTAGTGTAGTGCCAAAACGTCAGTTCTCCTCTCTCCATTATGGGAGAACCCTTTGAATAACCCTTTTGGGTTTCAGATAGAATCCTTTTAAGTTCCATGTAGAATCCTCTGTGGAAAGGGTTCTACGTGGAACCCAAAAGGGTTCTTCAAAGGTTTCCCCCATTGGGGACAGCGGAATAAACATTTTAGGTTCTAGATAGAGTGTAAGCCTGTATTTCAAGTGCGTAACTTGACTTTTATTTTTCGAACAACATTAAGGTCACCGCCAGCACCGCTGGCCCCTCCCCACCCCTGTCCCCATCGTCCCCTGGTAGGGTCCACAACAGCAGAAGTTTGATAGAGAGCACGTTGAAGAGGAAGGGGGAAACACCGGTAGCCTGTGTCTCTGCTGAGGCCTACGGAACCTCTGGAACCTCGGAAGGCAACACTAGAACTCAACAGACTCTAATGGACTAATTGTGATTCCAATGGGGCAGTTCAGACATGACCCTTACATCCAGTTTTAATATAAAATAAAAAATAAAACTGTTTAGAGTATAAGATGATCCTATCAAGTTCTGATCAGTGCATCTACACCTGGCTCAGTGGGTAAGAGTTAGAGCATGATGCGGTCAACATCAGGGTTGCGGGTTCGATTCCCACATTGGACCGATCGGCTACATACAGCGCATTCGCAAAGTATTCAGACCCCTTGACTTCTTCCACATTTACGTTACGTTACGTTACAGCCTTATTCTAAAATTGATTAAATTGTATTTTTTTCCCCTCATCAATCTACACACAATACCCCATAATGACAAAGCAAAAAACAGGTTTTTAGACATTTTTGCTAATTTATAAAAAATACTAAACTGAAATATTTCATTTACATAAGTATTCAGACCCTTTACTCAGTACATTTGTTGAAGCACCTTTGGCAGTGATTACAGCATTGAGTCTTCTTGGGTATGACGTTACAAGCTTGGCACACCTGTATTTGGGGAGTTTCTCCCATTCTTCTCTGCAGATCCGTAAGCTCTTCTCAAGCTCTGCAAGGTTGGATGGGGAGCGTCGTTGCACAGCTATTTTCAGGTCTCTCCAGAGATGTTCGAGCGGGTTCAAGTCCAGGCTCTGGCTGGGCCACTCAAGGACATTCAGAGACTTGTCCCGAAGCCACTCCTGCTTTGTCTTGGTTGTGTGCTTAGGGTCGTTGTCCTGTTGGAAGGTGAACCTTCACCCTAGTCTGAGGTCCTGAGTGCTCTGGAGCAGGTTTTCATCAAGGATCTCTCTGTACTTTGCTCCGTTCATCTTTCTCTTGATCCTGACTAGTTTCCCAGTCCCTGCCGCTGAAAAACATCCCCACAGCATGATGCTGACACCACCATGCTGACACTACCATGCTTCACCGTAGGGATGGTGCCAGGTTTCCTCCAGACGTGACGCTTGGAATTCAGGCCAAAGAGTTCAATCTTGGTTACATCAGACCAGAGAATCTTGTTTCTCATGGTCTGAGAGTCTTTAGGTGCCTTTTGGCAGACTGCAAGCGGGCTGTCATGTGCCTTTTACTGAGGATTGGCTTCTGTCTGGCCACTCTACCATAAAGGCCTGATTGGTGGAGTGCTGCAGAGATGGTTGTCCTTCTGGAAGGTTCTCCCATCTACACAGAGGAACTCTGGAGCTCTGTCAGAGTGACTATCGGGTTCTTGGTCACCTCCCTGACTAAGGCCCTTCTCCCCCGATTGATCAGTTTGACCGGGCGGCCAGCTCTAGGAAGAGTCTTGGTGGTTCCAAACTTCTTCCATTTAAGAATGATGGAGGCCACTGTATTCTTGGGGACCTTCAATGCTGCAGACATTTTTTGGTACCCTTCCCCAGATCTGTGCCTCGACACAATCCTGTCTTGGAGGAAACAGGATGCACCTGAGCTCAATTTCGAGTCTCATAGCAAAAGGACTGAATACTTATTTACATAAGGTATTTCTGTTTTGTATTTTTTTATAAATCTACCAAAATTGATACAAACCTGTTTTCGCTTTGTCATTATGGGGTATTGTGTGTAGATTGATGAGGGAAAAAAGTATTTAATTCATTTTAGAATAAGGCTGCAAGGTAACAACATTTGGAAAGTCAAGGGGTCTGAATACTTTCCGAAGGCAAACTGAGAAATCGGAGGAGAAGGGCCTTAGTCAGGGAGGTGACCGAGAACCCGATGGTCACTCTGACAGAGCTCCAGAGTTCCTCTGCGGAGATGGGAGAACCTTCCAGAAGCACAACAGGCAACTGCCGAAAATAATGGAAACACTTGAGTAAATGAGGGTTCTGGAGGCTCTGTTATGGTGTGGGGTGCATTTTCCTGGCATGGTTTAGGTCCAATCAACCCCTTAGAGGGCGAGGTAAACTCCAATAAATACACAGCCATTCTGACTTACACCTTCAACCTATGGTGAAGCATTTCTATCCTGATGGGAGTTGTCTCTTCCAGGATGAGCATGATGATTATGAAAAGCGATGTAAGCCATATGCCATGGCCGTCTCAGTCACCAGATCTCAACCCAATTGAAAACTTATGGGAGATTCTGGAGCAGCGCCCGAGATAGCATTTTCCACCACCATCACCAAAACACCAAATGGAAAATGATTGTGGAAGAGTGGGGTCGCATCCCTCCAAAAAGAGTTTCAGACAATTATAGAATCTATGCCAAGGCGCATTGAAACTGTTCTGACGGCTCGTGGTGGCCCAACGCCCGCTTTATGTTGGCGTTGTCTTTATTTTGGCAGTTACCTGTATGTCACTGTCAACGTTGACAGTTCTGTGAGTCACTTTGGATAAAAGCATCTGGTAAATGACTATATTGTGGACACTGGACAAGCAGCACACAAGAAAACGAGAGTAAGTCAAACTCAATCATCAGAGGACACGACTGCACCAGCACACCAAAATAACAAAGCACAGGAATGTCCAAATCGGTTGCAGTTCTGGGATCAGCTCATATTCAGGAAGATCACTACAGGCTCTAGTCCATCTGGATCACTGGAGCGTTACAGATTGAAATTCAAAGGTCATTTCCTATTGCGCCGTCATCTGCAGTGTTTACCGTGAATGCAGACTCCGCTAACATTGCCTTTAAATTTAAATCACACTGTAACGCTGAATATCCGCGATACGGATTGAATAGAGCCCTAAGCATTGGAGTGTTGATTTTTGGTGGAGATCTCCTTTTGAATAAGTCGAGGACTAATTTCTCAGCAGCCTGGGCTGGACAGCTATGAGTTTGGTATCAAACTGTAGCCATCTGAAACAGCGCTGAAGCACAATTCTACAAGTGATATAATAGAAGGTATGTACTTCAGGCTGCTTTTGGAAAACATGAAGCACAACTCTATCATGGTTAGAACACTGTGTTGGAAATCATCTTATTCTTATGCCGATGACCATGAATGGCATTTACTTTAGACTTTTTATGCAAAATATATACTTTTTTGGGGGGGGGGTTTACACATACAGTAAGTCATCATAATTAGAGAAAGATTAGATAGAAGATAGATGATAGATTAGATAGAAGATAGAAGATAGATTAGATAGAAGATAGATTAGATAGAAGATAGATTAGATATTAGATAGCGATAGATTCGTCGATTAGATAGGACTCGCATTCGATAGCTAGCGTCGATTCGTCGTCAGACTCGCTCTGCTGCTTCGCTCGCGCTCGCTTCGCTCGCCCTCGCTTCGCTCCCGCTGCTCGCTCGCTTCGCTCGCTCGCTTCGCTGCCGCTCTCTTCGCTCGCCGCTCGCTTCGCTCGCCGCTCGCTTCGCTCGCTCGCTCGCTTCGCTTGCTGCTTCCGCTCGCCGCTCGCTTCGCTCTCGCTCCCGCTCGCTTCGCTCGCCGCCTTCGCTCGCTCGCTCGCTCGCGCTTCGCTCGCTCGCTCGCTTCGCTCTTCGCTGCCGCTTCGCTCGCCGCTCGCTTCGCTCGCCGCTCGCTTCGCTCGCCGCTCGCTTCGCTCGCCGCTCGCTTCGCTCGCCGCTCGCTTCGCTGCTCCTCGCTCGCTCCTTCGCTCGCGCTCTCGCTCTCGCTCGCTCGCTCGCTTCGCTCTCGCCGCTCGCTTCGCTCGCTCGCTCGCCGTATATTCAGATAGATTAGATAGATTAGATAGAAGATAGATTAGATAGAAGACTACCTCAACAAAGATGAGGTTTAGAACGCTGACTGAAAGTATGTTCAGAATGTTCGAGATTCATGTTTTTACCTTGAATGGGGAGAAGATGATTGTGCCTTTAACGGTTCCTTCTGTTAAGGAATAAAGCATTTATCACCTGTCTAAACATAGACGTAACCTTTCTATAGTCAAGGTCACAGGCGGTTGGTGGCACCTTAATTGGGGAGGACGGGCTCGTGGGAATGACTGGAGCGGAATCTCATCAAGTACATCAAACACATGGTTTCCAGGTGTCTGATGCCATTCCATTTGCTCCGTTCCGGCCATTATCATGAGCCGTTCTCCCCTCAGCAGCCTCCACTGGTCAAGGTCTTCTTCATAAGTGGGCTTTGCCCTTCATTTACATTTAAAGGTGCAACCTGCAATAGCTACAGGCAAGCTGTTCAATGGGCATTTCAATTAAGGGTGTATACCAATTGCTTCTTAAAGAATATCATGTTGATCTGATGGACTGTCAGACCATCCTTGCATCCGTACAGCTCCATCTAGGAATTTAGGAGTGGTTTCCATTTCTCTAGCCCCATCCCTCAGCTTTATGGCAAAAACAGTGGCAGGGCTGCCGTTCGGCTGAAAAGTGAAATCACAGATTGAGACTTTTAAAACGGTATGAAGAGAAAGCTTTCCTGTCTACCTCCTGAAATGAAGGGGAATCCATACTGTAGGGAAGCTCAGCGCCAAGACTCTGGCTGTCAGCATTCTACAGCCAAATCGCTCTACAGCGTCACTCTCTCTCTGCCTAATACACTGGTCAATCTGCCAAACATGGCTGTTTCCATTAGGTCTATACTTTGAGTGCTGAAATTCAATACAATCATTTATAATTTACATTTGTTAACTAAATTAAAATGTTTAATTTGAATGTTTGTTTGTTTTTTTAAGCTAATAATGACTGTAATAATTATTTTCTTGAATGTATTGCTGATGTATCATTTCATTTTACGTTTGTTTCTACTGACAAACTGAAACACAATGTCATTTTATTTGTCAATGTCTGCTTCTTGCCTTGGAAATAATGTTTTTTCAACGGCAGTGCATTTTTATACAAATATACAGCTTGTGTTCATTGTCTGTTTTTGTGGAAATAATGCAAATAAACAGCCGGACAATGTAAACAAAATCCGTTTACTCCTTAGTTCCTCCAAACATACAACACACAGCAATGGAAGGAATGTACTGCACTGTGTGGAAAAATCACTGGACTTATATATATCACTGTCCCTTACTAACTGAAATCATTACACTCACAGTATAAAGAAAAGTCCCCTTTCTTGTAAAGAAGTTGTCCTTGAATCATTCGTTTTAACACTAGTTAATAACCGGAGTTCCTAGTTATAACCGTCTTAATCTTTGCCCCTATAAATAGTGGCAGTCTTTTTGTGCTATCACGCCAACTCCTTGTCATGTTTGGCTTGAAAATGAAGCAATTAAGTTGGCAAGAGGACAAACAAATCTGGGATCAGGCTAGTTTTGATTATCATTGCCCTTGAAATTCCAGAATCATCAACATTTTGGCAAAGAGAATTTTAGAGTCATGACTAAAATAACAGTATAAAAACAAAAACATTGAAAAAGGTGAAACCGGAAGAAAGACATTTCACCTCAAAATTGTAAAGAGAAGCATCTTTGATTTCACTCTTCAAGGAAGATGGCCGCCCCTCCACCAGGCTTGGAGACAAACAGACTGTGTTTCTCTAGCTCTGCTCTATGTGGGTCTGGGGTGTAGTACAGCTCTCTGACGCTCTTTAGGAAAGACTCCACCTTGTCAGTGGGGACCATGGAGACAGCGCAGCCTCCCCAGCCTGCTCCGGTCAGCCGGGATCCCACAGCGCCAGACTGCCTGTAGCCAGAGGAAACATAACAACATGGAAATAACACGGTTACAGGATCCTAATCCTTAATCAGGATCTATCAATTAACAATGCAATCAAGCAAGTAAACTTCATCAACAGTTGCACAATCCATTTGTCAAACTCACTGCAAACAACTGGCTATAGGGTAGCCAGTGAAATCTAACATTTTAAATACATTTACATTTTAGTCATTTAGCAGACGCTCTTATCCAGAGTGACTTACAGTTAGTGAGTGCATACATTATTTTTTATTTATTTTTCATACTGGCCCCCCGTGGGAATCGAACCCACAACCCTGGCGTTGCAAACGCCATGCTCTACCAACTGAGCTACATCCCTGCCGGCCATTCCCTCCCCTACCCTGGACGACGCTGGGCCAATTGTGCGCCGCCCAATGGGTCTCCCGGTTGCGGCCGGCTACGACAGAGCCTGGATTCGAACCAGGATCTCTAGTGGCACAGCTAGCACTGCAATGCAGTGCCTTAGACCACTGCGCCACTCGGGAGGTAATTGACAGGTTTCTCTTGAAATTAGCTTTTATCTCAATGAGACTAATCTCTCATGAACAGACTACGTAAACATATAAATGGTATCTCACCAAATGACTGCGAGATTTTATTTATGGGTTAACGAGTGTACAGTGAGACGAACCTGTAAAACGTACAGGTTTAAACCCTTAATACAAAATATAGTTAACTTAAAAGAGAATGGAGGCATTCTGCTGATGCTGGACTCACAGACATATCTCCACCAGCCGGTCCAGTTCTGGACAGCTGCACTCGTACAGGTCTCTGCAGCTAGCATGGCTCTGCTTCATCAGGTCTCCTAGACGCTGTACGGCGTTCGGGGCGGAGGGAGCCTCATCACACACGCTCTTGAACCGCAGCACCCGTGCCGCCTCGCCGTATACATGCCTGGCCCGCTGGTACAGCTTGAACTGGGTCACTGGGAGGAGAGGAGAGGGTATATCGGGTCAAACCTGTTCTTTAATCTGTCATTTACCTTTAGAGGTTTTTAGACAGTATGGACATATACGGAGGAGTCATGGTCACAAGGAGGGACAGCAGGAAAGGCAGATGTGAACCTTTTTGAAAATAACATATCCGAGGGGTGCCTGCACGCACCACAGTATGGTTTGCACTCAAAACAGGCGGAGGAGACCCTACTATCTGTAGCCTACAGTTTAATGTACTGGATACACAGTAGTGATCAAGGGTAGGAACCGGTTCAACGAAATTACATTTTTCAAGGAATGAAACGGAACAGGGAACGAAAGTGATTCATACTGTTCCGGAACAGAACGCTATTTTAACTGCATGGGAGGAAACCGGTTTATACGTTCATTTACGTTCCGGCATTATTTCTGTCCCCCAACAAAGCACCTGGCAAAGCCTCATCAGAAACGTATTCCAGGTGTGCGTTAGGCTACAGCCCCCCCCCCTCCAAAGCAAGGCTAAGTCTTCCAACGTACCAAGTTTATTCAGAAGAAAGGGAGAGAGGATTTTTAATTAGCTAGAGAGATGGATCACTTTTTTCCACCCCACTGTAAGTTAAGGATACTATAGGCCAGTGATTCAGTTTAATGCCTGAGCCGCGTACAGTATTGACTGGTCACGGGAGCTAGAATAGTTATAGATCGGGTAACCTGTTCTTACATTCATAGTCCGCGTACCTTTAATAGCTTATAGACCCGGTAGACTATCAATATGTCACAAGGGGGAGACAGTCAAAATGCATATAAACCCGTTGACAATAAAGCATTTCTAGATGCCGCAGACCTAGTTCATATTGCATTCAAAATGCCGGCGAGGACCTGTTCATAACAGTTTCATAAGATGCCGGTACACTATAATGATTCATAAGATGACCGGGTTAACCTGTTATATAATGCATTTCATAGATGCCGGCGAACAGTTCATAAATGCATTCATAAGATGCCGGCGAGACCAGTCAAAATGCATTTCATAAATGCCGGCGTGAACTGTTATATAAGCAATTTCATAGTGCCGGCAGTATGATTTCTATCAACAATTCAAAGGCCCGTAACCTATTGCATAAGCCTTCATAAGACGGTATACCAGTATGATAAGTTAGGTAACGCAGCCCGCTAACCTGTTCAAGTAATGCATTTCTAAGTATCCCAGACTGTTCAAAAGCTTTTCAAAGATGGGGTAGACCTTTATTAATGCATTAATAAGATGCCGGCGTTAACTATTTATATCCTCCACCCAATCTAAGTCTAGACGGTAACCTAGTTATTATGCATTTCATGATGCCGGGACTAGTTCATATAAGCATTTCAAAGATGCGGTAGACTAGTTTATAAGCATTTCATAAGATCCCGGGCGTTCACACCTAAGTTCAGTATAATGCATTCTAAGTCCGTTAGACTTAGTCTCAATAAGCATTCATAAGTTCCCATGCGAGCTGCTCTTAATCATGTTATAGATGCTGTAGACCTAGTTCATATAAGCATTTCATAAGATGCCCGGCGTAGACCTAGTTCATATAATGCATTTCATAAGATGCCCGGCGTAGACCTAGTTCATATAATGCATTTCATAAGATGCCCGGCGTAGACTAGACTGTCATATAATGCATTTCATAAGATGCCCGGCGTAGACCTAGTTCATATAAATGCATTTCATAAGATGCCCGGCGTAGACCTAGTTCATATAATGCATTTCATAAGATGCCCGGCGTAGACCTAGTTCATATAATGCATTTCATAAGATGCCCGGCGTAGACCTAGTTCATATAAATGCATTTCATAAGATGCCCGGCGTAGACCTAGTTCATATAATGCATTTCATAAGATGCCCGCGTAGACCTATTTCATATAATGCATTTCATAAATGCCCGGCGTAGACCTAGTTCATATAATGCATTTCATAAGATGCCCGGCGTAGACCTAGTTCATATAATGCATTTCATAAGATGCCCGGCGTAGACCTAGTTCATATAATGCATTTCATAAGATGCCCGGCGTAGACCTAGTTTCATATAATGCATTTCATAAGATGCCCGGCGTAGACCTAGTTCATATAATGCATTTCATAAGATGCCCGGCGTAGACCTAGTTCATATAATGCATTTCATAAGATGCCCGGCGTAGACCTAGTTCATATAATGCATTTCATAAGATGCCCGGCGTAGACCTAGTTCATATAATGCATTTCATAAGATGCCCGGCGTAGACCTAGTTCATATAATGCATTTCATAAGATGCCCGGCGTAGACCTAGTTCATATAATGCATTTCATAAGATGCCCGGCGTAGACCTAGTTCATATAATGCATTTCATAAGATGCCCGGCGTAGACCTAGTTCATATAATGCATTTCATAAGATGCCCGGCGTAGACCTAGTTCATATAATGCATTTCATAAGATGCCCGGCGTAGACCTAGTTCATATAATGCATTTCATAAGATGCCCGGCGTAGACCTATTCATATAATGCATTTCATAAGATGCCCGGCGTAGACCTATTTCATATAATGCATTTCATAAGATGCCCGGCGTAGACCTATTCATATAATGCATTTCATAAGATAGATGCATACGATGCCCGGCGTAGACCTAGTTCATATAATGCATTTCATAAGATGCCCGGCGTAGACCTATTTCATATAATGCATTTCATAAGATGCCCGGCGTAGACCTAGTTCATATAATGCATTTCATAAGATGCCCAGCGTTTCAAGCCAAGCCTCCTCCTCAACCCTCTGTCCCCATCCTCAACATTTCAGTGGCATCTTGTGCCATTGGGCTACACTCGTCTGTCCATCACGTATGTAAACAACTAGCTTTGCCGGCTCTATCCGCACTGATTGGTGAAGTCATTTAATGAGCTAAATGTAAAAAAATAAAACTTGATTTCACAGGTTAAAAAAGGAACATAAAGGAATGATATAAACTGGTACTTTTTTGGGGTTCAAACCGGTTCAGAACTTTATATTGCTGGTCGGAACAGTAGAACGGAACGAAAAAAATAGTGGTTCTGTTCAGAAACGAAACGATTGGAAAATAACTGGTAGTAATACTAGTGTCTTACCGTGCTGTGTGTTGGCGCTAAGGAGGTCTGTACAGAGCTGTTCTGTGGTGATTCCCAGAGCCTTGCAGACCTCCTCTCTGCTGTAGGGCTCAGGGTGCAGAACCTCAGCCACCAGCCGCAGCATCTCCTCCAGAGAGGCCTCCAGCTCTGTCTGCACCTGGGACAGCTTCAGCAGCCGGCCCCACTCCAGCCCCCGCGCCTTCGCCAGCATCTGAGGGGGACCATAGAGTCATACCATATAGTTATTTAAAGCATACAGGGGGACAGCTTCAGCAGCCGGCCTCACTCCATGCCCCCGAGCCTTCGCCTAGCGTCTAGTGGTGGAGAGCAGCATAGAGTTATAATAAAACCTAGATGTAAAACTCCCTAAAGTTCACACCATAGAGTTAAGATAAAGCCTAGGAAACAGCTTCGAAAGCCTGCTCCACTCCAGGCCCCCCTCGCATTGGCCAGAATCTGAGTCGAGTTGAGAACACAGTTAAATTAATTCTAGAACACCATAGAGTTCAATGCAGGCCCGTCTAGGTGGTGGAGGAGAGCAGCATTATGAGTATAATAAACCTCATTTTCAGCTGATTACAATTTGTTTTGATGTACTAGCGGGACAAAACCTTGGACGCTTACTAACTCATAACACGTGTTGAATGTTCTCCACCAGGCATCTCTAGTGGCATTTGGTATATTCTATATATATTTGTACGATGTTGAGAACAGCAATATCAATTCCGAGCCGCTGTAATAATAATTGACCTTGGTGGCTATGCGGCACTCGACCACCCTGATGTTGAAGTGAGAGGTAGCAGCCTTGTTCATCTCAACGCAGCAGTTAGAGATGACGAACACTGCTCCCTCAGGGAGACGCACGTCAGATCGCCCGCAAGGGGTGGAACTCAATCAGCTTGGCCTGGGACAACAACAACAACAACAACAACAACAGACAGATCAAGGACTAATAACAAGCACCAACAAACCAGAGAATTTGACCGTAACTGTACATCATTTCATTAAACTCTCGTTAAACTATTGTTTTAACTTATAACATAGCATCATCAAACACTAATTAACACTCATACCATATAATACTCCTTTATATACAGAGTGTGTGTGGTGTGTGTGGTGTGTGTGTGTGTGGTTTGTGTGTGTGTGTGTGTGTGTGTGGTGTGTGTGTGGTGTGTGTGTGTGTGGTGTGTGGGTGGTGTGTGTGTGTGGTGTGTGGGTGGTGTGTGTGTGGTGTGTGTGGTGGGTGGTGTGTGGTGTGTGTGTGTGTGTTGTGGGTGGTGTGTGTGTGTGTGTGTGTGGTGTGTGGTTTGTGTGTGTGTGGTTTGTGTGTGTGTGGTGTGTGTGTGTGTGTGGTGTGTGGTGTGTGTGTGTGTGGTGTGTGTGTGGTGTGTGGTGTGTGTGTGGTGTTGTGTGTGGTGTGTGTGGTGGTGGTGTGTGGTTGGTGTGTGGTTGGTGTGTGTGTGTGGTGTGTGGTGGTGGTGTGTGTGTGGTTGTGTTGTGGTGTGTGTTGTGGGTGGGGTGTGGTGTGTGGATGTGTGGGTGGTGTGTGTGTGTGTGTGTGGTGGTGTGTGTGGTGTGTTGTGTGTGTGGTGGTGTGTGTTGTGTGTGTGTGTGTGTGTGTGTGGTGTGTGGTGTGTGTGTGTGTGGTGTGGTTGTGTGTGTGTGGTTTGTGTGTGTGTGTGTGGTGTGTGTGTGTGTGTGTGTGGTGTGTGTGTGGTGTGTGTGTGTGTGTGGTGTGTGTGTGGTGTGTGTACCTACAGTTCCTTCCTCTGCCAGGAATGAAATGGACTGGTCCATGCCCCCGCCCTCAGTGCCAATATAGCGCTCACACTTGGCTGAAATCTCCGCCAGCGCCACCTGGTGGACAGAAAAGGGGACCGTCTAAGTCTCCTGTTTTGCTTGTCAGACTTTACAGCAAGATCGTGCATCAAGGTGTTGACAGAAAACAATTCCTAAAAGTAATTAAAATACATCTGACATTGATCAAACTGATGTTTGAACTCATAATAATATGGCATTTAGCAGACGCTTTTATCCAAAGCGACTTACAGTCATGTGTGCATACATTTTTACGTATGGGGTGGTCCCGGGGATCGAACCCACTACCCTGGCATTACAAGCGCCGTGCTCTACCAATTGAGCTACAGAGGACCGTATCAGAACTCATATCGTCAGCAATTCATTATCTGAATCTTGTCTCAGCGTATAAGATTTTAAGAGTGTGGTTTGCCAAACTACAGTTAAGTTCCTTGAGACATTCACCGAATACATCCATGTCCTGTACTACCTTGTTGAGGGACTTGTGGTTAGCCTCCACGGTGAGGAGCCCAGCACAGCAGACCAGGGCACTGGAGCTGGACAGGCCGGAGCTAGCCGGGATGGTTCCGTCCACAACACACTTCATCCCAGACAGAGGAACCTTCCCTAGGTGCTCCTGGTGAGGATGATGACGGAACACTATATGTTCAACAATGCCTCATGTTTATGTTTGATAAGGTTAATACTGTATCAACATGATAGATAGATACTGTAGACAGACAGACAGACAGACAGACAGACAGACAGACAGACAGACAGACAGACAGACAGACAGACAGACAGACAGAGAGAGACAGACAGACAGACAGAGAGAGACAGACAGACAGACAGAGACAGACAGACAGACAGACAGACAGCCAGAGAGACAGCCCGACAGAGAGACAGAGACAGCCAGACAGAGAGAGAGACAGATTTGATATGATGAATTAGAATAGTAGAATAGAACAACATGAAGAAGAACATATACTGCATATTACAGTAATAACCAGAGTCTACAACGACTCACCTGAATCCCTTTCACCCCACAGAGAAAGTAATAACCAGAGTCTACAACGACTCACCTAATCCCTTTCACCCACAGAGAAAGTATAACCGAGTCTACAACGACTCACCTGAATCCCTTTCACCCCCACAGAGAAAGTAATAACCAGAGTCTACAACGACTCACCTGAATCCCTTTCACCCCACAGAGAAAGTAATAACCAGAGTCTACAACGACTCACCTGAATCCCTTTCACCCCACAGAGAAAGTAATAACCAGAGTCTACAACGACTCACCTGAATTTCCCTTTCACCCCACAGAGAAAGTAATAACCAAGTCTACAACGACTCACCGAATCCCTTTCACCCCACAGAGAAGTAATAACCAGAGTCTACACGACTCACCTGAATCCCTTTCCCCCCCACAGAGAAAGTAATAACCAGATCTACAACGACTCACCTGAATCCCTTCACCCCACAGAGAAGTAATACCAAGTCTACAACGACTCACCTGAATCCCTTTCAAACCCACAGAAAATAATAACCAGAGTCTACAACGACTCACCTGAATCCCTTTCACCCCACAAAAAGTAATACCAAGCTACAACGCTCCTGAATCCCTTTCACCCCACAGAGAAGTAATAACCAGAGTCTACACGACTCACCTGAATCCCTTTCACCCACAGAGAAAGTATACCATAGTCTACAACGACTCACCTGAATCCCTTTCACCCCACAGAGAAAGTAATAACCAGAGTCTACAACGACTCACCTGAATCCCTTTCACCCCACAGAGAAAGTAATAACCAGAGTCTACAACGACTCACCTGAATCCCTTTCACCCCACAGAGAAAGTAATAATACCACTGAGGATTGTCCTTGTCAATCTCAATGTCTTCTGAAGAGACTGTGAAGTCCCTGTAAAAAAAAAAAAAAAAAAACATTTTATGATTTTGAGAGAGCCGTCTCTAGGTAAATACAATTTGATAGGTAATGCAATACAGTCGTCAATTTGTCTAGATGGGCGGCAAATCAAGACAGATTCAGGAAGATGCTTACATACGCAGATTATAGGGGAATTGCACAGGCATAAAAAGCAGGAGGAAGGCTTGAGTGGAGATTCACTGGCAGATCTTACTTGTATTTAGGTTCTGTGTTGGCCAGGTGTATTTTCTTGGAATCATTGACAGTGACAGCAGCAAGAATGCTCTGCTCAATAGCCATTGGGAGCACAGCATACCCACAGTAGTCAATGTGTTCTCCTAACAGTAATGAATGAAGAAAGACAATGTTTGAGATACAGTTACGGTTTATAGTTAGCTAGGATCACATTTATTTATTTTTTCTCCTGTAAATCACTTGTCTTTATACTGTATTTATGGATTTCTGCGTTATAATAGCATAGCTATATACATCTGAACTTAGTTTACATACCTATTAGATTGACTCTTCCAGGAGCTCGTGCATAAAAGAGAGGAGCTTCTCCATACTTTTTCTCGAAGGCCTCTTTCAGGTTTTGCAACCTAGGAATAAAGCAAATCGGGAAAATGCAAATGAATGCACAATTCAAGGAGTGAGTTGAGGAGTGAAAAACGGTCTTACTTTACTGTAATCTACTATAAATGTATAACACTTGCATTGATAGTTTTAGCAACTGTAATTACCAGTAGTATTTAGGAAATTATCAAGATAACTCACCTTTTATTTGCACTTATCAGAATCTTTGTCTTTGGCGGGTGTGCTGCCATTTTTCAAACCAAATACCAGTTCTTACCGGTTGTTTTTAGACTATTGTTAAATCACCTAATCTAATTGCAACTAGATCAATACAGAGTACTGTACTGAGGAAAGATATTGAAACACACCTAATACTATCAGCTGACTCACACGCGGGTCCCCGGATATTATTGAAAAGCTGATCTACGACCAGCTCTTCCCGCCAAAACCGCTACCTCAAACGCTTTCAGTTAAACAAAGAAACTGTTTCTAGACCAGCTGTAAACACGGTGCATTGTAACGAACCGTAACAATACGGAAGAGTAGGAAAGGGCCAGTTCAAAGGAATCACGATTCACGCTCATGTTCACGCTGCGCAGCAACGCATTGGTGGCGGATGACGTAGAAGCTAGTATCTTTGCTGCGACTGTCTGCTGCCACTAGCAAGGTCGCTATCGATCTAGCTAGCTAGCTTCGTAGTAAATATGTCTGATATAGAAGATGACTTCATGTGCGATGATGAAGAGGATTATGATCTGGTAAACTCCTCAGAAGTAAATATATATGGATATTGTAGCTGATTACCATATACAACGTATTTAGCTAGCTAGCTAATCAGCGTAAACATTCCATGTTGCACTCCACTTAGTAGCTAGCCAGCTAGCAGCTGAACTAGCTGTTGATGGTTCTCCTATCATTGACAGCTAACTGTTAACGTTAGTTAGTTAGCCAGCTAGGTCTCTAAGGATTTGTTCACTTACTATTGCAAGTTGCAACTAATTGTTGCTAAACCTTTTGCACCGTTAAATGATCCAGCTGTTTGCTTCACAAATCACCAAAACAACACATATCATGAGCTAGCTAGCTGAATGTCAAAAGTGGGTGTTGATCTTGTAAACTGCAGTGATGATTAATTGTGTGATTTCAGGAATACTCAGAGGACAGCAACTCTGAGCCCAATGTTGATTTGGAGAATCAGTACTACAATTCAAAGGCCCTAAAGGAGGATGACCCCAAAGCAGCTCTCAGTAGCTTCCAGAAGGTTAGTTATCACACACAAACACCACAGGAGGCTGGTGAGGGGAGGACGGCTTATAATAATGGCTGGAATGGAGTGGTATCACACCATGTGTTTGTAATTATACCATTCCGGCCATTACTATGAGTCCGTCCTCCCCAATTAAGGTGCCACCAGCCACATGTGACACACACGCGCTATTGCCTGTCCCTTTATTAAATGCATCTTTCTGACCCCAGGTCTTGGAGCTGGAGGGTGAGAAAGGAGAATGGGGGTTCAAAGCCTTGAAACAGATGATTAAGATTAACTTCAAACTGGTAAGCAGCAGACACGTTACCAGTCAAAAGTTTGGACTCATTCCAGTTATTTATTTATTTTTTTAAAAACTATTTTTACAGAATATAGCCCTATTTGGTAAAAGACCAAGTCCATATTATGGCAAGAACAGCTCAAATAAGCAAAGAGAAATGACAGTCCATCATTACTTTAAGACATGAATGTCAGTCAACCCAGAAAATGTCAAGAACTTTGAAAGTTTCTTCAAGTGCAGTCACAAAAACCATCAAGCGCTATGATGAAACTGGCTCTCATGAGGACCGCCACAGGAATGGAAGACCCAGAGTTACCTCTGCTGCAGAGGATAAATTCATTAGACTTAACTGCACCTCAGATTGCAGCCCAAATAAATGCTTCACAGATTTCACGTAACAGACACATCTCAACATCAACTGTTCAGAGGAGACTGCGTGAATCAGGCCTTCAAATCAAATCAAATTTTATTGGCCACATGCGCCGAATACAACAGGTGCAGACATTACAGTGAAATGCTTACTTACAGCCCTTAACCAACAGTGCATTTATTTTTAAAATAAAACAACAACAAAAAAAGTGTTGAGAAAAAAAGAGCAGAAGTAAAATAAAATAACAGTAGGGAGGCGATATATACAGGGGGGTACCGGTGCAGAGTCAATGTGCGGGGGCACCGGCTAGTTGAGGTAGTTGAAGTAATATGTACATGTGGGCAGAGTTAAAGTGACTATGCATAAATAATTAACAGAGTAGCAGAAGCGTAAAAGGATGGGGTGGGGGGGCAGTGCAAATAGTCCGGGTAGCCATGATTAGCTGTTCAGGAGTCTTCTGGCCAGCCTTTCAAAGCACTTCATGTCTACAGACGTCAGTGCTACGGGTCGGTAGTCATTTAGGCAGGTTATCTTAGAGTCCTTGGGCACGGGGACTATGGTGGTCTGCTTGAAACATGTTGGTATTACAGACTCAGTCAGGGACATGTTGAAAATGTCAGTGAAGACACTTGCCAGTTGGTCAGCACATGCTCGGAGTACACATCCTGTTAATCCGTCTGGCCCTGCGGCCTTGTGAATGTTGACCTGCTTAAAAGTCTTACTCACATCGGCTACGGAGAGCGTGATCACATAGTCATCCGGAACAGCTGGTGCTCTCATGCATGCTTCAGTGTTGCTTGCCTCGAAGCGAGCATAGAAGTGGTTTAGCTCGTCTGGATGTCTTGTGTTTCATGGTCAAATTGCTGCAAAGAAACCACTACTAAAGGACATCAATAAGAAGAAGAGACTTGCTTGGGCCAAGAAACATGAGCAATGGACATTAGACCGGTGGAAATCTGTCCTTTGGTCTGATGAGTCCAAATGTGAGATTTTTTTTCCAACCACCGTGTCTTTGTGAGATGCAGCGTAGGTGAACGGATGATCTCTGCATGTGTGGTTCCCACCGTGAAGCATGGAGGAGGAGGTGTGATGGTGTAGGGGTGCTTTGCTGGTGACACTGTCGGTGATTTATTTAGAATTCAAGGCACACTTAACCCGCATGGCTACAGCATTCTGCAGCGATACGCCCTCCCATCTGGTTTGCACTTAGTGGGACTATCATTTGTTTTTCAACAGGACAATGACCCAAAACACACCTCCAGGCTGTGTAAGGGCTGTTTGACGAATGAGTGCTGCATCAGATGACCTGGCCTCCACAATCACCCGAACTCAACCCAATTGAGATGGTTTGGGATGAGTTGGACCACAAAATGAAGGAAAAGCAGCCAACAAGTGCTCAGCATATGTGGGAACTCCTTCAAGACTGTCGGAAAAGCATTCCTCATGAAGCTGGTTGAGAGAATGCCAAGAGTGTGCAAAGCTGTCATCAAGGCAAAGGGTTGCTACTTTGAAGAATCTCAAATATAAAATATATTTTGATTTGTTTAACACTTTTTTGGTTACTACATGATTCCAAATGTGTTATTTCATAGTTTTGATGTCTTCACTATTATTCTACAATGTAGAAAATAGTAAAAAATAAAGAAAAACCATTGAATGAGTAGGTGTGTCCAAACTTTTGACTGGTACTGTATATATTGAATATTTAGAAAACATATTCTTCATTGTGCTAAATATTTGATCAAATTTGTTCATGTTTTGTAAAGAGCTGCTACCATCCTGTACCACCTAAATTAGTATTTGAATTACTTTTTTGTTGTTGTATTTTTCCCTCCAGACAAATTTCCCTGAAATGATGAACAGGTACAAGCAGCTGTTAACATACATCCGGAGTGCAGTTACAAGAAACTACTCTGAGAAATCCATCAATTCCATCCTTGACTATATCTCAACGTCAAAGCAGGTAATGTTTGTAACATTTTATGAACCAAACAATTATGCTTTGATTCTGTGCACCGATCTGAGCTGTATTGAATTTTGGAAAAGTGTCTAAACTCTGAGGGCTGCTCTGAAAGCTACTGCTGGACGTATAGGCATGCTAAATGGTACAGAAGGCCTACTTGACTTCTTCATTCATTTTCAGATGGACTTGTTGCAAGAGTTTTATGAAACAACGTTGGATGCATTAAAGGATGCCAAAAATGACAGGCTTTGGTTTAAAACCAACACTAAGGTATGCTTCATAAAAAAAAAAAACGTTTCATATAATGTCATTGATTCCATCCACAATATCATCTTTTTTTTAATGCAATCCAATAATGTACACTACCGTTCAAAAGGTTGGGGTCACTTAGAAATGTCCTTCTGGTTAGAGCCAGTTTGCGCTGTTCTGTGAAGGGAGTAGTACACAGCGTTGTACGAGATCTTCAGTTTCTTGGCAATTTCTCGCATGGAATAGCCTTCATTTCTCAGAAACAAGAATAGACTGACGAGTTTCAGAAGAAAGTTTTGTTTCCATTTTGATCCTGTAATCGAACCCACAATTGCTGATGCTCCAGATACTCAACTAGTCTCAATAAGGCCAGTTTTATAGCTTCTTTAATCAGCACAACAGCTAACATAATTGCAAAAGGGTTTTCTAATGATCAATTAGTCTTCTAAAATGATAAACTTGGATTAGCAAACACAACGTGCCATTGGAACACAGGACTGATGGTTGCTGATAATGGGCCTCTCTGTACGCCTATGTAGATATTCCATTACAAATCAGCCGTTTCCAGCTACAATAGCCATTTACAACATTAACAATGTCTACACTGTATTTCTGATCAATTTTATGTTATTTTAATGAATTTTTTTTGTGTTGCTTTTCTTTGGAAAACAAGGACATTTCTAAGAGACCCCCAAACTTTTGACCGGTAGTGTGTGTGGCATAGACGTTTTACGGAGACACTAAGGTTGATCCTTGTGTCATTTAGTTTCATTCCTCACGCCTCCTCCCTGTCCTGTGCTTTAGCTTGGGAAGTTGTACCTGGAGAGAGAAGAGTACGGTAAGCTTCAGAAGATCCTGAGGCAGCTGCACCAGTCCTGTCAGGTGAAGAAACACTCCTCATCAATGCAATCAGAGGTTTTCACAGAGGTCTTTACAGAGGTTTTACCACCAAATCTAATTCAGCATTATAACGTCATAATGAAAAAAAAAAAACGTACTTGTGTGTTCTTAGTGACAATAGATCATTGGAATCATATTGTATGATTTGTAGCCTGGTCCGAGATCTGTTTGGACTGTTTGGACAACTCCTATGGCTGTTGCCGTGACCACAGGAGACAAGAGAACACAAACAGATCTGGGGCTGGGCTAGTATGATTGTGGAATCATTGTGGAAATCTAGAATGCCCTGTTCATCCTCAAGTGTCTGTGTGGATGTATCTCTCAAGTATTTGTTCCATGTTCTGTCTTGGTGTATAGACGGATGATTAGTATTGGTCCCATGTTCTGTCTTGGTGTATAGACGGATGATTAGTATTGGTCCCATGCTTTGTCTTGGTGTATAGACGGATGATTAGTATTGGTTCCATGTTCTGTTTTGGTGTATAGACGGATGATTAGTATTGGTTCCATGTTCTGTCTTGGTGTATAGACGGATGATTAGTATTGGTCCCATGCTTTGTCTTGGTGTATAGACGGATGATTAGTATTGGTTCCATGTTTTGTCTTGGTGTATAGACGGATGATTAGTATTGGTCCCATGCTTTGTCTTGGTGTATAGACGGATGATTAGTATTGGTCCCATGCTTTGTCTTGGTGTATAGACGGATGATTAGTATTGGTTCCATGTTCTGTTTTGGTGTATAGACGGATGATTAGTATTGGTTCCATGTTCTGTTTTGGTGTATAGACGGATGATTAGTATTGGTCCCATGTTCTGTCTTGGTGTATAGACAGATGATTAGTATTGGTCCCATGCTTTGTCTTGGTGTATAGACGGATGATTAGTATTGGTTCCATGTTTGTCTTGGTGTATAGACGGATGATTAGTATGGTTCCATGCTTTGTTGGTGTATAGACGGATGATTAGTATTGGTCCATGTTCTGTTTTGGTGTATAGACGGATGATTAGTATTGGTCCATGTTCTGTCTTGGTGTATAGACGGATGATTAGTATTGGTCCCATGTTTGTTTTGGTGTATAGACGGATGATTAGTATTGGTCCATGCTTTGTCTTGGTGTATAGACGGATGATTAGTATTGGTTCCATGCTTTGTTTGGTGTATAGACGGATGATTAGTATTGGTCCCATGTTTGTTTTGGTGTATAGACGGATGATTAGTATTGGTCCCATGTTCTGTTTTGGTGTATAGACGGATGATTAGTATTGGTCCCATGTTCTGTCTTGGTGTATAGACGGATGATTAGTATTGGTCCCATGTTGTGTCTTGGTGTATAGACGGATGATTAGTATTGGTCCCATGCTTTGTCTTGGTGTACTATACAGACGGATGACGGTGAGGATGACCTGAAGAAAGGCACCCAGCTCTTAGAGATCTATGCTCTGGAGATCCAGATGTACACGGCCCAGAAGAACAACAAGAAGCTGAAGACACTATACGAACAGTCTCTACACATCAAGTCCGCCATCCCTCACCCACTCATCATGGGAGTCATCAGAGGTAGACACATCTCTACCTACGCCTTAACTGCTTCACTTTACAACCACATCTCTACCTACGCCTTAACTGTTTCACTTTACAACCACATCTCTACCTACGCCTTAACTGTTTCACTTTACAACCACATCTCTACCTACGCCTTAACTGCTTAACTTTACAACCGCATCTCTACCTACGCCTTAACTGCTTAACTTTACAACCACATCTCTACCTACGCCTTAACTGCTTCACTTTACAACCACATCTCTACCTACGCCTTAACTGTTTCACTTTACAACCGCATCTCTACCTACGCCTTAACTGCTTAACTTTACAACCACATCTCTACCTACGCCTTAACTGCTTAACTTTACAACCGTATCTCTACCTACGCCTTAACTGCTTAACTTTACAACCACATCTCTACCTACGCCTTAACTGTTTCACTTTACAACCGTATCTCTACCTACGCCTTAACTGTTTCACTTTACAACCACATCCCTACCTACGCCTTAACTGCTTAACTTTACAACCACATCTCTACCTACGCCTTAACTGTTTAACTTTACAACCACATCTCTACCTACGCCTTAACTGCTTAACTTTACAACCACATCTCTACCTACGCCTTAACTGTTTAACTTTACAACCACATCTCTACCTACGCCTTAACTGCTTAACTTTACAACCACATCTCTACCTACGCCTTAACTGTTTCACTTTACAACCGCATCTCTACCTACGTCTTAACTGCTTAACTTTATAACCCAGACACATTCATGGGCTCTTTCTCAAGGGTATTTTTCTTACTCTCAAACGTACAGTCTCTCCTCGCCTCTTTCTCAAAACGCATTGGAGGAGAAGATCCAAGGTCTCTCCTCTCTGACCTAGTCCTTCAATGGGTTTTAAGTAGGAGGCGTGTAGAGAGGATCCTTTGTCAGGACCACGTTGTCTGGTCTGTTGTCTTCTCCAGAGTGTGGAGGGAAAATGCATTTGCGAGAAGGGGAGTTTGAGAAGGCTCACACGGACTTCTTCGAGGCGTTTAAGAACTACGATGAATCAGGAAGTCCTCGACGCACCACCTGTCTGAAGTACCTGGTGCTGGCCAACATGCTGATGAAGTCTGGAATCAACCCCTTCGACTCCCAGGAGGTATGGAGGGACTCTTTAGTGATGAGAGATTCATCTCTATGGGATGGCTTCCCAGACCCAGTTTTTTAAACTAGTCCTGGAATAAAACTTTTTCAATGGAGATGGGTCTTTACTGATTCCTATTTTAGTGAACATGGTGTATTGGTGCATCTGTCATAATGTTAGTGTCGTTACTAATGCTGATATTTGTTCCTCCTAGGCCAAACCCTATAAAAATGATCCAGACATCCTTGCAATGACAAACTTGGTCAGGTAAGACTGCATCTCATTGGCTATTACAATCTAACCTTTCTGGGAAGAGTTTTGCTTTGGCCATTTGTCTACACACAGTTTGATTATTGAACGCAAACCAATGTTACATTCCCCGCCCTAGTTCCTACCAGAACAACGACATCACAGAGTTTGAGAAGATCCTGAAGACCAATCACAGTAACATAATGGATGATCCATTCATAAGGGAACATATAGAAGGTGTGGTTTAAGATGTCACTCTCAGCTTGATGTATTTGGTTAATGTTACTTCATTAGTAAGTAGTAACATGCTTTTAACAAGTTATAAATCCTTATACCTGGAGGCAGGTAAAGAGTTACTGAAAGTTCCTTATATTTAATCATAGATTTTCTTGATTTTTATCTTTTCAGAGTTATTACGAAACATAAGAACACAAGTGCTCATCAAATTAATCAAGCCTTACACGAGAATACACATACCTTTTATTTCAAAGGTAAGATCACTACAAAGATCTATCTGTAGCATATTGTTTTTGTGAAAAAGTATATATTGTATCTAAATTTGAAGTTTTATAATATACATTTTTTTGTCTCCTTCAGGAATTGAACATCGACGTCTGCGACGTGGAAAGCCTTCTAGTTCAGTGCATTCTAGACGGGTAAATTGCATCTTGGTACATGATTATTGTAGAGCTTTAAATGCACCACAGTTTTACGCATTTACCATAATTGACCTTCTATTTAACTTTTTCTTCTGATACCTGTCAGAACGATCAACGGCCGCATCGACCAAGTCAACCAACTGTTGGAGTTGGATCACCAGAAGAGGAACGGAGCCCAATACATGGCTTTAGATAAATGGACTAATCAGCTGAACACTCTCAACCAGGCCATCGTCAGCAAACTGGCCTAATCGGAGTAGTGTAACCCGAAAAGTTACTAATTCGATGTTGCGGGCGTGGGGGGTAATTTCAACATGAGGAGCGAGTTAACCCAATTCATCTCATTTACAGTAGCAGTAGACTACATTCTCAAGATGGCAATAACAGATTGATGATCTCCCACAGCTTCCAATATCAAACGTACAGTCACTTCTTGTCATGTGACTGATCATTTAAGGTAGAAGTCAGAGGTGCCAGTTGCCCAGCTTGTGTATCTCGGCCTAGGGCCAGTTTACCGGGCACAGATCAATAGTCCTGGACTAAGAATATGCTCAATGAGTGGTTTTTTTTTCTGGAGTCGGACTAGGCTTAATCTGTGTCCAGGAAACCAGTCCATAGTGTCCCAAAACCAGTAGACTTCATTACCATTAAAACACTAAACTGGCCATTCATTGTACAGAGAGAAGACTGTAAAATCCCACTTATGTACATTTCCTATAGTGAAACATGTTTGCTCTACCACAGTATTGCCCCCTTCTAGGGATATGTGAATACCCAAATGTATTGAAGCATTAACAATGTTGAGCAGTCAAAATCGGCATGACCGTTTCATGTCAAAATCAGCATGACCGTTTCATGTCAAAATCAGCATGACCGTTTCATGTCAAAATCAGCATGACCGTTTCATGTCAAAATCAGCATGACCGTTTCATGTCAAAATCAGCATGACCGTTTCTGCAAAATGTCCAGTGCTCCCTGTACAGTCTTTCATAAATGGAGCACCAGATTTCATATGGTACATTGTTGTGACACTGTTAGACACATTTTAGCTTTTGTTTTGTTACTGAAATAAAAGTTAACTGTTGCTTCAGTTTTTTTATTTTATTTAAATTTTATTTTGTACAAATCGTGTGGAGCCATCCGGTGACTGATCTGTAAGTTTCATACAGTAATGAAGTGGGTATACCCTAGTTTTGCGAAAAATATCCCAAACCCGTCTGCCCGGCAAAGGAAAAATATGATTTGACAAACAGTGACATACACTAGTTTAAGGACACCTGCTCTTTCAATGACATAGACTGACCAGGTGAAAGATATGATCCCTTATTGATGACACTTGTTAAATCCACTTCAATCAGTGTAGATGAAGGAGAGGAGACAGGTTAAAGAAGGATTTTTAAGCATTGAGACATGGATTGTGTATGTGTGCCATTCAGAGGGTGAATGGGCAAGACAAAATATTGAAGTGCCTTTGAACGGGGTATGGTAGTAGGTGCCAGGCGCACCGGTTTGGAGTCAACATGGACCAGCATCCCTGTGGAACGATTTTGACACCTTGTAACTCAATATTAGGAAGGTGTTCTTAATGTTTTGTCCACTGAATGACCTAAAATGATCCCATATTGGTATTTTACAGTCAGGCCAACCCAAGCTGTACTGTGCCAGTAGGCTATTAGTAGTCATACTATTGAAACAGATTAACGAGGCTGTCAACTGTGTCAGAAATTCCCAGGTTTCTGATTTTTCAGGTTTTTGTTCTCGAGTCACTTTTTTTTTTTTTTTATAGTAACAACAAACATTGGATGTTCTAAGTCCACAACCATGCTTAAACCACATCAGGAGATCAATTTTGAGATCTGGGAAAATCTTAAGAAATTTAGATTTTTTTTAGTGTAGTTACCCTTTAATTCAACTGGTCATGACCTAGCACTGTTGTTTGGTTAGAGGTGTTTCTGTAGCGCATATGAGATGGAGTCTGTAAAACAAATGGCCGCTGGATTGATGCAAATAATCATGATATCATTCTGCCAGGTAGGCATAGGTTACTTTGTTGCTAGTTAACATCTAATTGAGAAGTTTTTTTGGGGGGAAAGCCTTTCCATCTACCAGAAGACGGTTAGGTCCTATCATTAGCGTTGCTATATTTTTCCTGTCCCTTAATTGTTTTGAAACCTGGATGTTTTACTTCATATTACGAGGCATGTCTTACCTTGCTTCAAAGTAGCCTATAGCCAAAATCCCATCATAGAAACGTGGAGGCAATTATTTTATAAAGACCTCATATGAGCGCTCTTGTTCTATTGGTTTTCAAATCAACGTTCTTTCATTGTCTAGCAGCCAAAGGCATTATCCTAGTCATATTAGCAACCCATGATAGTTGTTGCATCTTTTGATCTCCCCTCGTTCTACATTTCTAAAGGATATTTCCATCTCTGTCCATTAAACTGCTCATATGTGCAATGCGCATTTTAGAATGGTGTTTTCCCGCAAATCGCATTTTGGAACATTTGCGCGTTTAGGCCTACCGCCATGTGCACACTGCTGAGTTTAAAATGGGAAGAAATAATAGTTAATCAACATTTTAAGGTAAACATTCTGATCTGTTCCATCAGCCTGATTCATTGATAAGAGTATAGGCTACATCCACTACACTACTTTGATAGGCATAGTGGGGATTAAGAAGTGAGTATATGCAATGCCCACAAAAACATGGGTTGATACCTGCCTTTAGATGAGGAAAGAAGCAACTAGTTGAGGTTGAGTTGGAGAAGAAACTTAAAATCGCAAATTCAAGAATACACGTTGAGAGGGTAATTGGAAGTCTCATGCAGAAACATACTATACTTTTATAATAGGCTACATTAAATTAAATGTATTTTGTGTGCAATTGCCATCTCTGCTTTGCCTTGCCCCATGACTAAATATTTCACTCCTCCATGCTCGTCCCCTGGTTTGAAAGCATCCTTCCTCTGGCAGAAAGGACATTTGATTTCCACACAGCCCATTCCACAGCAATTTGCAACTGACAAGTCCATCTGGACTGGCACCAATGAAGGGGTACTGCTGGTTGATGAATAGACCTGTCTTCATCATTTCCAAGTTCTCATGAGAGCAGGTCAACATGTTCTGATACTGAGCAGGTCAACATGTTCTGATACTGAGCAGGTCATCATGTTCTGATACTGAGCAGGTCATCATGTTCTGATACTGACCAGGTCATCATGTTCTGATACTGAGCAGGTCAACATGTTCTGATACTGACCAGGTCAACATGTTCTGATACTGAGCAGGTCATCATGTTCTGATACTGACCAGGTCATCATGTTCTGATACTGAGCAGGTCATCATGTTCTGATACTGAGCAGGTCATCATGTTCTGATACTGACCAGGTCATCATGTTCTGATACTGAGCAGGTCAACATGTTCTGATACTGAGCAGGTCATCATGTTCTGATACTGAGCAGGTCAACATGTTCTGATACTGAGCAGGTCAACATGTTCTGATACTGACCAGGTCATCATGTTCTGATACTGAGCAGGTCATCAAGTTCTGATACTGAGCAGGTCATCAAGTTCTGATACTGAGCAGGTCAACATGTTCTGATACTGAGCAGGTCATCATGTTCTGATACTGAGCAGGTCATCATGTTCTGATACTGACCAGGTCATCATGTTCTGATACTGAGCAGGTCAACATGTTCTGATACTGTGCAGGTCAACATGTTCTGATACTGAGCAGGTCAACATGTTCTGATACTGACCAGGTCATCATGTTCTGATACTGAGCAGGTCAACATGTTCTGATACTGACCAGGTCATCATGTTCTGATACTGACCAGGTCATCATGTTCTGATACTGAGCAGGTCAACATGTTCTGATACTGACCAGGTCATCATGTTCTGATACTGAGCAGGTCATCATGTTCTGATACTGAGCAGGTCATCATGTTCTGATACTGACCAGGTCATCATGTTCTGATACTGAGCAGGTCATCATGTTCTGATACTGACCAGGTCATCATGTTCTGATACTGAGCAGGTCAACATGTTCTGATACTGAGCAGGTCATCATGTTCTGATACTGAGCAGGTCAACATGTTCTGATACTGAGCAGGTCAACATGTTCTGATACTGAGCAGGTCATCATGTTCTGATACTGAGCAGGTCAACATGTTCTGATACTGAGCAGGTCATCAGGCTCTCATACTGAGCAGGTCAACATTTTCACATTTACATTTTAGTCATTTAGCAGACGCTCTTATCCAGAGCGACTTACAGTTAGTTATTTTTATTTTTCATACTGGCCCCCCCGTGGGAATCGAACCCACAACCCTGGCGTTGCAAACGCCATGCTCTACCAACTGAGCTACAGGTGCTGATACTGTAACATGTAACTTCTTTTGAGAATAAATGCAACACTTGCAAGCGCATACCGTGATGTGTGAATAAATAAACTGCTCAAAAAAATAAAGGGAACACTTAAACAACACATCCTAGATCTGAATGAATGAAATAATCTTATTAAATACTTTTTTCTTTACATAGTTGAATGGTGCTGACAACAAAATCACACAAAAATTATCAATGGAAATCAAATTTATCAACCCATGGAGGTCTGGATTTGGAGTCACCCTCAAAAATAAAGTGGAAAACCACACTACAGGCTGATCCAACTTTGATGTAATGTCCTTAAAACAAGTCAAAATGAGGCTCAGTAGTGTGTGTGGCCTCCACGTGCCTGTATGACCTCCCTACAACGCCTGGGCATGCTCCTGATGAGGTGGCGGATGGTCTCCTGAGGGATCTCCTCCCAGACCTGGACTAAAGCATCCGCCAACTCCTGGACAATCTGTGGTGGATGGAGCGAGACATGATGTCCCAGATGTGCTCAATTGGATTCAGGTCTGGGGAACGGGCGGGCCAGTCCATAGCATCAATGCCTTCCTCTTGCAGGAACTGCTGACACACTCCAGCCACATGAGGTCTAGCATTGTCTTGCATTAGGAGGAACCCAGGGCCAACCGCACCAGCATATGGTCTCACAAGGGGTCTGAGGATCTCATCTCGGTACCTAATGGCAGTCAGGCTACCTCTGGCGAGCACATGGAGAAATGCCACCCCACACCATGACTGATCCACCGCCAAACCGGTCATGCTGGAGGATGTTGCAGGCAGCAGAACGTTCTCCACGGCGTCTCCAGACTCTGTCACGTCTGTCACATGTGCTCAGTGTGAACCTGCTTTCATCTG